TTTATTTTAGCTCTAGACTTTGGAACTTGTTACACATCTGTTCGATTGCTGAAATTGACATGGTAAATTAGTCTTAAATGCATCTTATTTTGATTAAACTTGTGAGCTTTTTGGTTTCATAAAAGCGTTTGCTTTGTTCACCTTGATTATTCATCATGTCACTATTGCCTTCTTGAAATGGGTCTCTGAGGATGGAAACAGTGCAGTTCAAATCTATGGACTGCTGCTTTTAGCAGAAATCTTTATTTAGGATGGGGTCTGCTACCTTTACAATGCTAAGAGCCATTTTTGCCCTCTGTTTGACTAAAGAAAATTTGATAAAAACAGGAAATGTCACACGACCGGATTTGAATCTGAAACTCATACAGATTTTTTTTTTTTGACACTTTTCCGTGTTCCGTGTTTGGCATGAAATACAGTAGCTTGATGGAGAGACCGCTGTGGTGTCTGGTTAAACCTCTTTTTTGCTGAAACACTTTGTTGATCTGCAGGGCCTTATTAAACCGGACCTGTGTTGCAGCATTGCTGTGAGTGTACTAGGAAGAACAAAACCTCCCAACAAAAATCTGTATTATCCTTTTTAGGAATAGTTTAAATGAAAAGTAGATAGTTAAATAGTTAAAATAACAAAAAGAGCCATTGTTGAAGGGCTAGTAGGTCGGTTACCGTTCTGGAGCTACCTAGATTTTTGGACATTATTTTGAAAAAATGAAAAAAGTTAAGCCCCTTACACACCCAATAAACCAGAGGCCTGTAACACGAACCATGATTACTGGGTTAGTGGGACAATTTCAGGTTTAACCCTGACTTTCTGGCCCCATGAAGCTGAATTAGTTCTTAGCAAGGCTAATCACCATGGTAACGTACTTTGAACTGCAAACTTGCTTTGGGGCAGGCTAGCTTTCAGGATTGATCTGAATCCTAGAAATCGCTCAGCTCAGCAGCCAATTAGCTGTAACGAAACAATGATGTGAGGGAAAAGGAATCTAAACAAAACGTCACAATAAAATGAACTGAAAATATAAAAGCTGTTTAAATAAAATATGTTGTTGACAAATGAAATAGTCTTTAATTTATTTCTTTTTCTTTTTCCTCCTGTTTGACATACCAACCTTTCACTATTTTGTATGTGCTTTCTCCTGCATAATATCCTCATACTCACTTGGCATGCAATTGTTGATAATATAATTGTTCTATGAAGCTAAATTAAAACACTAAAATAAAAAATTGAGAGAAGATCCTGTGGTACTTATATGAGCGATGCAGGTTTTCACCGTCTAGACTGGCATATATGCCAGATCCTAGATCTGTGAGTTGGCTGTGTGACCGGGAGCAGTGCCATCAATGTATCAATGACTGCATGGCCATGAGATGTTACGCAACCAGCAGCTTCATGTTCAGTGTCTGGGATGATGAGCGCCTTCAGAAAAAATATAATCTGTGGATTCGTCCATCAAGTGTCCAGTACTTTGATGGAGTTCAATTAATTTTCTTTCCACCAAGAGTGAAACATAGGGGCTGAAAAATTAGATTAACTGTGAATATGCAAATATATGATCATCAAGTCATTAAAAAAAAAACACTAAAGAAACAAATGCTAAATCGCAATTTGGTTACAAATAAAAAACTATCTACTCAAAGCAGTAATTAACCCAAACTGAACAAAAAATATATTTTGCATCCATGATTAACAACCTTTATTGTTGTCTGTGAATGTGCTCAATCATAAATTAGGCTTTACCTGCGTCAAACTATGAAAATAAGCACATTTTTAACCATTATTAATAGTAGCTGCTGATTGATTCATATTTCTTGTCTTTTTAAGAAATCTAATTTATTTTGTAAAATATTTATTCAAGCGGTATATAATACAAGAACAAACTCTTGATGAAAGATGAGGTTTATCAGGTTGGTATTTATCTAGATATACCTTCCTTTTCGCTTTGGGAGTAGAGCTCTACTTATAGGCACATGTTATCTAAACAAATTGAAAGGCTTTAGGGATTATTTGGTTGGGTTTTTCTGCAAGGTAGAACCAATGCACTCAGGCAACTTTAAGCATATATTTACACAAGAAAGTCCTTTGGTCCCTTTTGTTTGGTCCTGACCAAAAGTAGATATTTTTTTTTTGTCACTTATATTTTATTATTTTTGATCATACAACGCACATACAAATAAAAAGGAACAGAGTACACTAATATTATGAACATGTCTGGGTAGCACCTTCTTTTCAGTTTTTCTGTTTATATAATGTCCATTTTTCCGTTTTTTTGACCAAAAGTAGATTTTAATTTCTCATTAGGTTTGGTTTGCAATCTAGGACATTTTACAAGTAGACTATAGTTCTCAATGAAGCCATTCCGGTGACAATTATTGCTCCCACTGGACTAGAGCTTCGCAATATGGCTGAAAAATCTAATCTCCATTTTTTCCCCATAGCAAATCAAATAAATCGTTCTTTGTTTTTGTTTTCTGTTGTTTTTTTCCCTCAGAAAAAGCAGTACTAAGGTAATTGGCAGCCTAATGACGTCACAAAATAAGGGATGTCGATGTCATGACGAGTCTCTCCCTTTAAAGTTCAAACTATCAATTTCATATCAAATTAATTTCAATATTCTTTCCTTAAATTGAATTGGTTTATGAAATCAATAATAAGGTTTATGTTTAAGTCAATTGGATGGAATGTTTATCTGATACACCATTAATTGACAATCAATCGTAAGTCAAGTAATTTGTTTACATCCCTAATTTTGCTCGAAGCAAATATTCTGAGACTCCCAGTAAAATATTAAATTCAATACAGTTTATTTATATAGCGCCAATTTACAACATATGTCCTCTCAAGGCACTTTAAAGTTCAACCAGATCATACAAATTGATTCAAAGTTTTCTATCTGAGGAAATCCAGTTGATCGACTCATTGACGCGAAGGCGGAAACACAGCGTCCAGGAAACACACAGCCAGGCAGACGAGCTCCGAGCCAGCTCCCATGTCAGAGGATGAAGAGAGCACATCCAGTTAGTCACAGTCAGAGAAACAGGACTACACTGGAAAACAGGCCAAGCTCCAACATCTAGAAACAAAGGTGTTGATGGCAGCAGCACAGCTGATATTTCTCTCCAGGATGGAGTCACAGCCAAACAGGAACAGACCAGATGAAGCTACATTGAGAAAAAGCAGAGAGAGCAGAACGTTAGAGATTGAACTAATAGATTCTACAGAGTGGGAGAATAGAGATAGAATGATGAAAAAGGGGTCCCTATGTCCTCCAGCAGTCTAAGCCTATAGCAGCAGAACTATAGAGATAGCTCAGGATAACCTGAGCCACTCTAACTAGAAGCTTTATCAAAAAGGAAAGTTTTAAGCCTAGCCTTAAAAGTAGACAGGGTGTCTGCCTCACGGACTAAAACTGGTAGTTGGTTCCACAGGAGAGGAGCCTGATAACTAAAAGATCTGCCTCCCATTCTACTTTTAGAAATTCTAGAAACCAGTAGTAAAAATGTTAACTCCTGTAGACACACAGTTCTGTGTAGAGCTCAGATAATGGAAATCAGTCAATCAGTCCGAAATGGGTCTATGAGGATTCAGTCAGTACACATGGATACATTTCTGATTTTAACATCTTGTAGGATTCCTTTTATGTTTTAAAGATTTTTATTTTTGCTGTTTTTTTTTTTAAACTCTTTTTTTTGGGGGGGCGGGCTTTTTGGCTTCAGGTTATGAGAATTTGATAGTGAAATAATTTTGTTGGATCTATGATAAAAGATTCATTGAAGTGAATCATACAGTGCACCAGTTAAAGTGGTGTGGTTGGAAAGGATTGGTCAGGTATGTTGCAAAGTGGGTGATTGGAGGAGATGGACAGCGGCAGCGGGTGGTAATTCTTAGAAATTCAGCTTGAGAGGGATTAAAGAAACAGTCCTTCAGAGGCTCTGGTGTGGCGTGCTTGAACGTGTGACTTTTGTCAACATAAGCTTTTCTTTGACCTCTGAAAGCAATATTTGAAAGTAAGACATTTCATTGCATGATTATAATGTTATTTGCGTCACCTATCAGTGGCTTTAATTTTGTTTGACTGATGTGGGTCAGTGTGCTGTTTGATATTCTGTTGATGTGTAACCAAATCACATCTGCAACTTTAAAGCCAATCTTAACCCTTGTGCCAGTAACCCATTTCCCTCCTGGTGTTTTAATTGGCGTGCAGAAATTGCCTTGTTATTCTCATTCATATGCTTGATGAGCAGTCATGTAATTTGACCCAGAAGGGCATAAAAATGGTTCCGTTCTCAGGAGATTTCTGTCCTTCTTTTCTTCCCTTTGAAAATTAAGAGGTGATGAATATAGTTTATTTTTTACTAAACTGCTAAACAACATCGTTGTTAAAACCTGTTAAATATTTAACTGATATCTTCATGTTTTCCTTAACCTAACTCGGCAACACTTGAATAGCTTTTCATCAATTCTAAAGAGTGGAAATGGCAGAAGTAAAAGCCTTGAGCCCCGGCTGCCCTCTCACTCTGACGATCCTGCTACTTTTTCAGTAGCAGGTTTGCTGGCTTTCTCCTGCATCTCTGAGTGGGTGCAGAGTGTGGATCAGGGAGAAAGAGCTGAATGTCTTGCTGACTCACTGATGAGGTAGAAGTAGGCGGTGGATGGAAATTAAGGCTGACTGGTTTTAGGCCATAGAGACCGAGTGACCCAGTTTCCACTCCAGCACCAGTTCCTTTCAGCGTTCAATCATGACAGTTCCCCTCTTAGATCAGTACTTTATCCCTGTAATGGAGCTCACTGGTCTAGTTTTATCTAACAACAGTCTGACTTGTGTAATACCTTTTGGAAACTGTTAAACTGTCCGATTTTTCTTTCGTATGTAAAGTGAAACATTTTTTTTTTATCTTCTATGCTGCAACTATATCTGATCAGATTGATCAGATCCACCTGCAGCTTTGATGAGCAGCAGTGTTTTATTGTCTGATCATTGGCTGGTTTGGCTTGACAGACCAGCTGTTTGGGAAACCCTCCTGAACCTGGACACCACACCCCTGCCTTCAAAGGTGGCTCTTTGTCTGCTGACGGGCGGGAGCGCTTTCCTTCATCAATTTGTTTGCGCACACAAGGTGAGTCATGGTCAATTTATGCTTCTGACGCATAGCCTCTGCAGCCATCAAATCTGACTCTGTGCGCGACCACGTCCCCTGTGCAGAGGTTTTGCAACCGTTGTCGCGCACCTCAAAAAAATCCTTACTACGCGTCGGAAGGTCGCAAACCCACGCAGACCTCTAGTGGAAGTGCACAGACAAAAAGCACCTGTGAATGGTCCTTGGTATGCCTTTCCGGCCCTCTGTGTGGTTGTCCTTCTGGATTCGGTGCCGGGGTGCGCCATTTTTAAAAACCGAGGAACAACTACAATGGAGAACTACAAAGAAAGGTTAATCGGTCTTTTTGCCAACTCCTTAAACAGAACCTGTTCCTTTTTGATGTCTAGCAACTCTAGATCCATCTCCGTGACCGTGATATCTTGCAGACGTGCCACAGTTGTTTTGGAAGATAAACGCTCCTGTCGGCGCCACCAAAGTTCTTGCGAGTTCTAGAATAGGCTCCCCTTTGCACTTTGGCAGAAAACTGCTGTGCGTCCCTAGAAATTCTAGACCGACGGTGCAGAAGCATGCCAGCAAAACTGGTTCGCGACCAGACCCAAGCAACATTTGATGTGTGCGGATGCAGAAGTCTAATCTGCCCTTCAGTTTGTGGGTGTGATGCAGGCAGGTGGTTCCATGTTTTCAGCTCACTGACTAAAGATCTTCTGACAGACAGGTCATGTATACGTGCAAATGAGAAACCCTTTTTAACAATGTTTCATTATTATTTAGAGACTCTGCCTCATTTGAGTGTAATATTGACAGCTTTCTGCCTAATGAGCCGTCGTGCTGGAAATGCACTGATCAGACCCCAGAGAGAAAAAGTGTCTAGATGTCACAGGGCGGACACGGTCCGAGAAATGGAGCTTAGCGGCCAAATTTCAGGAACACCTGCTAGAAAAAGGATTGTCTTTTGTGTGAAAATTTGGATTTGGGAATGAGGGCACCCGTCCGTTGGATACGCTGTAGTTGGAAAAGAAGTTGGATTTGCTGATGTTTGTAGGACAGTTCTGATATAACTTTTTCCTTTCTAATTCCGATATATCCGCTTTGAGTGTTGACGATATGGCCCCGATATGTTATCTGCATGTATCATAGACTCTTATTACTTATCTGTGGCCTGATAGAAAAGGCAGCAACAATCAAGGACAACTAAAGGTATGAAAACAACTGAGCCAATTATTATGAACTAAAATGTGACATAAACTTTAAATGAAAGAGGATAACGTCCATGTTTTTTTTAATCAACATGCTCATATTGCAGTTTTAGATGCAAACGTTGGAGCCCCCAGGGATCCATGGAAAGAGATTCAAGGCTGTTTAATCTTCTGATTTCTAGAAAATGTAAACATTTCTCTGATTAGATTAAAGGCAGTCATTCAATCTGTACAGATTAGAAACCTTCTCTCTTTCTACTGTAGGTCACTTAACGGTAGACTTCAGTGATAGCTGATGCTTTTAAAACTGTTAAAAACATTCTGAAATAAATACAGACTATAGGCTTTTTTTTCTGGATGATCTGATAAATTATTTTCTGTAAAGTGCCCTGAGATTATATGCTGTGGGAATTGATTTTGTATCAAAAAACTGAATTGAATTATGTTGAAATTGGCGCATATAGAATCCTTCTCCTTATAACCGCCTTTCTGGCAGCCTTGGATTGATATCCAATACTAAGCAATATAAGTTTACTGGGATTTAGCCCATCACGAAGGCAAATATATTTATACTACAGCATCTTTTTTAAACACTGTATCTACAGCAGCCATATTGAATGTGAATTTGGAGTTGTCTGCAGACGTTCGATTTTACAATTCCAGATTAGGATTTTAGGGATGATTCATATGATTTCTCTAACTTGTAAAGTCAAGTCACTAATGCAACCATAACTGTGGCTTGAAATCAAGTCTTTAGACACTTTAGTGGAACCCCTCACAAAGGCAATACATGTTCTTTATATGGGGATTCCTTTTCTACCAAAAGGAAACCCAGATGAAAAGCTAGATCCTTCGATATTTCTCTCTCATATTTCTTGTTTTTATCTATTTGAATATTTCAACATTTTAGTTAACATATACTTGAAATTTAGGTCTGGATCCCCATGTCATTATAAGGTATTTATTTAGGTTCTCTGTGATTCCTTTTTTTTTTTTTTTATGTTTAACATTCAGGATTGATTAAGTGAATTTAAATCCATTTTGACCCCTGAGCAGTGGTCGCCAAAGGGCAACTTCTTAGAAATGGAGACAAATTTTTTTAAGTAGAAAGAAGAATGTTTTTGTTCTTTTGGTTTTATTGGAGTACAGATGATTGATTAAACTGTGTGTAATGCACAATTCATACATCAGAAAATATTTGCTCTGGGAAGGAAACCTTATGTCTTAAACCATTCCTTTATTGCACATTTTGTCAGCTTGTCTGTCTTCTATTCAAACCAATATGATGTGTTGAATTGGATCTGCTGTTTTCACAGCTTTTGTGAGAAACTTTTATATAAAGTAGAACATTAATTCACAGAAAAGTTAACTTGAATTCTGTAAATCAAGGTTTTCATTCTATACCCAGCAGCTGTAGTATCTAGGCAAGAGCTGTCAGTCTGGTAAATAATCTGGTTGTTATTCAAAATTGTAAATTTAGCTGTTTTATGAAGGGCAACATAAAACTGTTTAAAAAATCTTTTTGAGTTTTAGTCAACTAAAACTATCGCATATGTATAATAATGACTAAAATTTGCTTAAAACTAATATTAGTTTTCATCCTGAAGACAAAAACTAACACTAAATTTAAGATGGCTGTCAAAACTCACAATAAATAAATTGATTGAAAAAAAACACAGATGTATGCATGCTGCTGCTTTCCATGTTCCAGAAATAATGAGTAATGTTTGTTGTTTATAAAGATTGCAACTATACCTTTTTGAATAAGTCTTAACACCTTAGCCGCAGGTTTCACAGAGCTGTTTGATTTGTCATCATAAAAAGGGAGATGGGTAACACCCAGGGAAAGTTTCAGTTAGACCTTAATAATAAAAACAAAACTAACTGCTCAGGTTGTAATGACTTAAACACATTTTATTTCTATTTTTCACTAACAGATTCCATATTGACTTTATTTTCCTCTTTTCAGAGGCAGACAGGTCGGGGCAGCTGTTTAAGGATCGCATCATATTAAGGCAAAGCACATCAAAGCGGATGAAACTAGGTCAGACTGAAGCAAAGCAGACCCGGAGCGGACCAGACTGATCCAGACGGCACCAGGCACGTCCAAGAGGCCTGTTCAAGTTTCCTTTCCAGGTATCGGAAGGAGCTCTGTTTTCCACTTCTCATAGGTTCCCATCACAAGATAATGTTTGTAAGTTTTTATGACCGATGTACCCGAAAATACTGACCATCAATTGAAAGACTAGCCTAAAAGTTTTCTCTTGCTGTGTTTTATTAATTTGATGATATAGCTGGATTGTAAATCATGGCACTTCCTGGTCTTTAAAGGGGTAAAAAAATTAAATTCAGCTTCATCACAAAGCATTTGGGCTTAGATTGAAGCATCAGAGATCTGATTTGTCATGGCCTTTATTTGCATCAGATAGAAATAGTCACCAGTTTATGAATTCAGGGCTGCTGAGAAATGAATCAATCGTTTTAAAGAACCATCTGTTGCTGTCCATCAATTCAGGAAGAGCTGTGGTGGCCGTCTGCCAGCACTCTGGTCTTCTCCCCATTGATGCCACTTTGGGTTTGCAAAGTTATACACAAGAAACCACTTGACTCCTGGAACAATTAAAAATTAGATCACAAAACTGACAGTGGACCGTAATGCCGTACATTTGAAGACAAGCTTCAATGGCAAATCAGCACAGACCGTTAAGATGGAGGGGTGATGACTTGGGTTTGTTTTACAGCCAAAGAGTTTCTTAAATCTTAGTCAACCACCAGCTGCTGTGTGTAATCCGCCCAGAAGCAGTGGAGTAATTTGACTCAATGCTGGCTTGTTGGGTAAATATCTGACAGATTAAATGACTGAATAGTGGAATTTTACAGTAATCGATCCACTTGCTACATCTGGTTGTGATTTCTACCTAAAGCCATGAAGAACTGAATGCTAATGCCCTCTTCCTAAATGCATAGTCTCATAATGCCTTTAGCAGACCAAAAAGTTTAGTATCTGAAGGGCTTAAATGTCATCCTTTTGTGTGTTTACAGTTAAGGGCTCAAGAGTGGATGGAAGGAGATGATTTTAATACAGAGGCTGTGATGAACATCTGTGGTGAGTGTGACCTGTTAGATAAAGCAACATTTAGGCTACATTCACACTGAAGGCCTTGATGCTCAATTCCGATGTTTTTTATTTTTGTGAAATCTGATTTATTTATTTTTTTTTGTGTTGCCGTTCACATTTCCAAATAAATGCAACTTGTATGTGATCTTCTTTGTGAATTGCACTCATACAATAAAAATTATAAATTTTATTTGTAATGCACTTTACATTTAAGAAAAAATCTCAAAGTCCTACAGCTAAAATCATCTTAGAAGGTTAAAATCAAGATTGAAAAATAAACATCGCTTTACAACACTTATGAATAAAATCAGTAGCATAATAAAATGTTTAAAGTCATACGTCCTGCTAAAAATAAATGTTTTTTAAAAGTCTGAATAGTCTGCTGTTCCCTCAGATGACCAGGGAGGGTATTCCAGGTCCGAGGAGCGGCAGAGCAGAAGGCACGATCGCCCACGGTGCTTAGCTTAGTCTTGGGGATTAGGAGGTGGTTTGAGTGTTTTTAGCAGCGGGATCGTGTTGTCGTGAAAGGGGTGAGCAGTTCCTTCAGGTATAGTGGGGTATTTCCATAGATGCACTGGTGGGTGAGAATTGAGACCTTTTATTCCATCCTTGCAGAAACAGGAATCCAGTGAAGGGAGTGGAGAATGGGTGTGATGTGGCCGTATTTTCGGACTCTCATGAGGATCCTTGCAGCAATGCAAGTGTCCCGCATGCACAGTAGAGGACGCGATGACATCACAGGCCAGCGTACTCTGTGTTTATGGAAGTAAACATGGATGGTAGTGCCGGAGCGCATCAGGCGATCCTTCCCAACTATAAAAACACAATTTTTTCAAGATGGTTAAACATAAATACTGCTCTCCGCATCATTGCCCGCCATGGTTGTTGTTTTTCTTGCTGCTTCTTCATAGCAAGACCCAGAGTAGTGACCTTTGTCAGGTATTAATGGCGTTCAGGTCGGATGAATGTGACCTGGCCGTCCAGACACAGGTCGCATTTAAAAAGATCAGATTCGTATCGGATTCAGGACCACATAGCCAAGTGGCCTGGGTCGGATTGGAACAAATCGGATGTGTTGTTCAGACTGCCATTAAAAGACCAGATACAGGTCGCATATGGGCCAAAAAATCGGCTTTGGGTCACTTCAGGCTGCTGTGTGAACGTAGCCTTAGTAGTAAAATTTTCTGTTTAACTCTGATTTTGCAGTAGGCTCATACAGATATTGCCATAGTTACCCGTTTAAATCTCGGCACCAAGCTGTATTTTCAGATTCCTGCAGCCTGATTGCTGCTCCACATGTTTTATTACCCCCGGATCCCACATCCTTTGTCACCGCTCCGCCCTGCTCACGTACGTCATGCGGAGCATTAGCACATGTCATGTTAATCATTTAGAACTGTTCCACATCCACTGCTACTCCTCCGTCTGTCACCATCCGCTTCAGAACAAGTGGGCGGAGCGTGGAGCAGAGTGGAAGAAATATGGTGGAGTGCAGAGCGGTTTTCAATTCAAAGGCCGAAGGGAGAATTTCGCTCCACTCCAGTTCGCTCCGATGCGCTCACCACGTCAATTAAAAATGTTGGATTATAAAATTTGTAAAATTACATTTATTTCATTTAAGTCTAGTGAAATAAATTAATAATTAAATAGGAAACACAGGGCAACATGAATGGAGTGAGGTTTTACCTTCACAGCTGGGAAACGGTGCGATAATTTAACAGCCAGTTAAATAAGACGATACACATGCATCGGTCACATCGTTAAATCAAACGCCACTTGTCCCAGAGCCCTGACATCATTACATGAAGGAAAAATGTCACAAAATGCCTTTCTGCTTAGTCTGGGTGAGCGTGGAGCGATTTTGCCGGAGTGGCATTAAAATTAAGGTGAGCGGGGAACGTGAATTGCAAGGCGCTCCACACGTTCACATGCTCTGATCCACATACGTCATCTTCATCCTAGCTAAGCTATTTTTTGCTCCGCTCCAGTCCGTTTGAAGCCGGCCAGGTCAAGATCTGCCATTGGAATCGTACCAAACTGGAAAAAGAAAACCCATGAGATCCAGTTTGTCAAAATACAATGGGGTAAAGACAGATCGGTAGCTGCTAATTTGTGCATAGACTGTATATATTCCCAAAAAAAGAAGGCAGTTTGATTGGATGCTCGTTATTTTTAATTGAACATACCAGGAAACAGATTGGTAATTTAGATCAGAATATTTATTTTATTCTGAAAGGCTTAAATGTTTCGTCAAATTCATTTCCAACAACTTCTAAGAGTGCATCCCACATCTTCAAAAGAAACTTCTTATCGCAGGCACAGCTGAAGAGATGCTGATTTTGGAAGTAGGAAACAAATGCAGATTACAAAACACTTTTAAATCATTCTTATTATCCCTATTACAAAGATCCACAACGAAAAGAAAAAGTTAGAAATAAATCACACGGATGATGGGGATTTTTTTTATTATGTCATATTAGATTAAGCATTTATTATACCTTGTATTGTGTTCCTATGAATCAACAAATAATAATATCGCACATGCTCTCCTCGAGCTCCAAGGAACTCGGAGCGGAGCAAGACAGGAGGAACCGCGGAGGCTGTAGGCGTCATTTTTCGCAGGCGCTCTGGAGCAAAGCGAAGCGGTTAGGAAGGATGTGGGATTGAGGGGTTAGTCAGCAACCTGCTTCCAGTTGTTAACTCTCACTCATGACAGGCATCACTCTGGTGAAAGTACTGCTGTCGGTCTGACTCAGCCATGCATCATTTCTTCTATTTCTGACCGACTTTAATGTGATGTGAAGAAAATCTTAAGTTGACGGTTAAAAGATGCTTTTTTTTTTTTTTTTAAAGATTGCACAATAGTCTGAATCAGATTCGCTCTGCCAACCAGTAGTGCAGTGTGCTCACACGTAATTGAGGTTTCATGCATACATCTAGGCGAGAAACTGCTGATTTCTATGTAAATTACCACAGTTGCAAAAAGTACCTAAGTCAGTTTTCAGAGGCCGTGAGGAACTCTGCAGAGTTCAGCTCTGATAAGACGGTGTCTGTGTTTAAAAAGGGGCTATGGTATGTCAGTCTTATTTGAGCGTTACATGTAAATTATTAAAATCTGGCGTAGAAAAATAACACAGATTTAAATCTCCAAGTGCTGCATCCATTGGGTTAAACATATTGAAAACCCAAAAGTTAGTTTCTCAGTAGGGCAGAATATTAGACTGCTTCTGTAAAGAAAATAGATTTTTTTGCATGTAAATGTTCTGTAGACTTCAAACTGAGGCGCCATCTTTTTTTGCATGAATAATGCCATCTATTTGGAGTTTTATTGGTGGCTTTGCAGTCGTCTGAAAGCTGTGGTTCTTCCTGCTTCCTTCTACACTTTATTTTCTTTTTTTTCTTCTGCTCACCTGTAATATTTTTCAGTCACATTAGCTGTGGACAGTGTGTTTAACATTCAGGATCACCATGGCCATAATTAAGCCCAAATAGGAAATTTTTTCTTAGAATACAGTTTTTCTATCAGTATCATGAAATATACATTTTATGAACTAATTTTGGGTAACAGACATGTTAAAATGTCCTAGATCGATTTAATGTAGAAGTTTTAATAAATTACTATTTCAATGATATTGTAATTTATTGAGATTCATCTGAAATTCAGTGTTTTCTCCACTGATTATTTAGCTGCAGAGCATCAAATATAAACCTCCCAGCACATAATGGTTATAGAACAGATGGTGATTTACATGCAAGGGAATCATCAGACACTGAGTGAAAAACCCTGTAATATTATCTGCTAATAGCATTTATAGTTCTGCATGGGACTCTCTGAAAGCATCCATTAGAAACCAACTCATGAGCGACGTTTATTTAGGTATTTGCAACCCTTTTGTAGCCATAACAGAAGTGTTGGTAACCTGACCTCCGGCTGCTGAATATTCTTATGTTCAAGCAAAGACTCTCTGCTCCAACCTTTTCTGCCGTTGCTGTGCAGATGACCTGATGGCAGACCAGCGGATGGACATATCGTCTACAATGACTGACTTCATGTCCCCCAGTTCCACTGACCTCATCTCCAGCTCCATCAGCACACCTGGCATGGATTACAACCGCAAGAGGAAAGGAAGTACCTCAGACTACCAGTAAGGACAAGAAGATGAGAGTTTAATAAACACAGTTAAAGAGAATAGTTGCTATTAGAGAATAATGGGTACAATGGAGTGCTAGCTGTAATAAGGCTGTTTATTTTATTATGAGAATAAAGTCCATATTAGAAGAACTAAATTTCAATAATAAAGTTTTCAAAAGTTCTTATAAGACAATTGTCTCGTTTTATTATTGGCATCATTTTCCTTCTGTTACAGCTCTAGTCGTGTAATGTTACAATTTAATTTTGGTTTTATTAGGACTTTAATCTCATAATTCACGTAATTTTACAATTTTAATCCGGTAACATTACCATTTAATTCTGTTAATGTTGAGACCTTTTGTTACAACTTAAATTGTATGATGCTCAAACTTTAATGTCTAAACATTACAACTTTATTCTTATGTCATGTCTTTGTTTTATGACATTGAACTTAATCTTGATATCTTATTCTCATGATGTTTTGGTAGTAAAATGACTTTAATTTCATTATTTTACAGTTTTATTTTCATAATATCATGCATTTGTTGTGCTAAGAATTGAATCCTCTAATATTCTGATTTTATTCACCTAAATTTTGCTAATTTTTTCTAACAATATGACAATAATTTTATTCTTGTAACATTTTTTTTAGATTAGTTTAAACTTGTAATCTTGCAATTTTATTTTCCTGTTACAATTTAATTCTGTTAATTTTAAGACTTGTAATCTCATAATTTTTCCTCCAGTAAAATAAATACCAGGACTTTTTTTTTACGTAATATTAACTTTATTCTCATAATTTACAAATGTATTATCATAGACCTCGTATTATAACTTATTCTCATTTTATGACTAATTAAAAAAGTATTTCTTTGAATGGTCTGAATACTCCGTCATAGACTAGAAAGAAGTTATATTTATTTCATGCTTATTGTGGTTTGATGTAATTAGAAAAGTTTTTTTTTTTCTACATCTGGTTTTAATCATTGCAGTAACAATTTCATTGATAAATTTCTTTTTTTTTTTTTTTCCAGAATTGATGGCTTCTCATTTGAGTAAGTTACAAAAAACTTTTTATTAGATTTAGGAAATAATTAACTTTATTGCATTATCTATTACACTAATATCAAATATCCTGAATCATAAACTATTTTACATCTTAGTCTTAAAGTCCAGTCACCATTTGAATGTTTTTATTTAGTTAACTATTGTTGAAACCAGTTTTCTTCTGTTTTAGTGACATGGATCCGGATAAGGATAAACTGGGCAGGTAAGACACTGATTTTCATGGTTATACTCTGTCTTTAGGCTCCTAATAGTTCAGTTGATTTAAAATTAGTTTGATTACTTTATTCCTCTCAGTGGAGAATGATTGTTTGGAATGAAGTATCATTGAAAAGAAAGAAATGTCTTCAGTAAAAACCTCACCAACACACTGAGAGTAAAGAGATGTTTTTATTATATGTTAGATCTTAGTTGTTTTTTGTTAGTTGACTTTTGTTTTGCTTTAAATCACTTTCTTACTCCTGATTATAACGTGAAAAGGACCGAGCTTTGAGGCTGCTGCATTAGACCATGTAGATTATTTCCCCTTATTTTTCCCCAAAGTCTGCTGACATTTTAAAATCTATCTTCTATAAAAAGGAGGTTGGAAGAATAAACAGCGTTGCTGTTTTACATCCAGCGTTCCCATCGTTTGCTAAAGTTTTACTAGTTGTTTAAAGGTAGAATCTGGTTTTCAGATTTTACGCATTGACAAAACGAGCTCAGAAAACAAACTTGATTTGCTTTGGGCCAAATTCTTCTCTCCTCACCTTCTCTCCTCCCTCTGCGTCTTTAGAAACCTGAATATCTCACATTTCTGTCTGCTTGTCTTTTTTCAAAATACATAACAGACATGAAATAAGATGTTTCAGCTGTTTAAATCGTATTAATGAAACGACATCCAAACATGATAGGATAAAAGAAAAGAAGGTTGAACAGCTGGGGAACAGCGGGTATCGCTTCATTCTTGTGTTCTTGAAATCCCACCAAAGTTTCCTGCATTCTTTACATTTTTCCTCCTACTGTCTCGATGTGAATGTCAGTACCTCCATTAGAAAGACGTCCTGAATCACTGCCATCCAGTCTTTTAATGGAGGGGATTCATCAGACATCTGTTTCCAACTGATTGTGTCTTTGCTGGCATTTAGCTTTAAATTGAGCATTTATAGCCCCATTTACAATTGAAACCTTTTGAAACCGTGCTGAGATTGGTCCGAACACGGTAACCGGGTTAACTGCTAAGTGTAAATAGCACGCACAACTGAACCGGACCGTGCCGGACACAACCGAACCGCTCTAACATAGTTAATCAGTAGGGCTCGGCGCAGTTCAGATCTGGCTCAGTTCTCAGATAACAAAGAGCTCATGAGCAGACCACCTCATCTCCTTATAGTCGGCCTCTGTAATCATGAAATTTCAGACATTCATGAAAGAATTAGCTTCCCTACCATGCCACACGATTTCCAGTGATGATTCTGTTTAGCAGTGTGATGAGCCTCAACGGCTGTCATTGTCTCCTGCGTCTGTAAGCCCTGATTAGACTTTTTTTTGTCGTATCCATTTCCGAAAAGCCGATTCTGTCAAGTCAATTCACCAAAGGCTGCCTTTTTTGCCTGACTCTCTCTCTCTGAACTTTCTGAATGGTACGAGCGCCGCCATGTTGATTTGCTTGTTTACCTCTAGAGAGCAGTAGTACCGTAGATGGTCACTAGGAGGCGAGGGACCGTGCTAGCGGGATGTGTGAACAGTCGTAAGGAACCGAGCGCGGCACGGTGAACTGATCCGAGCGCGGCACAGATCGGTTTTCAGAGAGTAGTGTAAATGAGGCTAATGTTTTACAAAAACCCTTTAAAGCTTTTGGTTTTGTACCTATAATCAAAATTTGTTAGCCGCAACATTTTCCACGATTTTTTTATTTTTGCTCCACAAAATGTGATGGAAACCAGCATAGGTCCAGAAGACCTCCAGCATGAATTGTCCATTTAGTCAGAGTTTAAATGTAAAAAAAAAAGAAAGGCGTTTAACACTTACAAATAACTCAGTTAGTTAGTTAGGATGTTATTTTCCAATGGTTCTTCCAGATACTTAATAACCATTATTCTCTCTAAGGATTTAATAATTGGCCTGTTCTCTTCTTAATGTATCATGCATCCTCTCCCTCCTGGTTTTGTAATTCTCTGTAGATTTTGAATATTAGTTTATTGTTGGAGTGACTGATATGATTTGATGAAAAATATTTAAAATACCAGCAAATGTCTGCAGTTTCCCTTTTCAACGTTTCTTCTTGTCTTTGCAGTGACCACCAGGGCAGGATTAAGAATGCCAGGTACAATCCCAGCTTCTCCTTCTTTCCCCTCATCACTGCCAACCATCTAATCTCTTACATTGATTCAGTTCCACTTGGCCTGATTGAAAGCAGAGCTTTATAGATCTACCCATTAGGGATTAAAGGCCTGTAATGATGCAACTAATGGTTAATTAGAGGCTCCCTAATGCGGTATGTTTTCACAGTTATCTTACAATCCAGAATGAGTTGAACTCCAGAAGTTAGTTTTATCTGCTTGCTGGATACAAGGAAGCAGCTCTTTGTGAATGTCTGACACCATTAAGTCCATAAAAATAATCACAACTTTGATTTCTGCATTTCTTTTCCACAGAGAGGCTCACAGTCAGATTGAGAAACGTCGGAGGGACAAGATGAACAGCTTTATCGACGAGCTGGCGTCCCTCGTTCCCACCTGTAACGCAATGTCCCGCAAACTGGATAAGCTAACGGTGCTGCGTATGGCAGTCCAGCACATGAAGACACTCAGAGGTTAGAACTTGAGGAAATGTCCGGGGGCCGGTTTAGACATTGGCTGATTCTGTAGATACAAGAAAAGGGAAAACAGGTTCTCTGCAAATGTACAGTGCGTTGAAAAAACAAAACTCATTTTAAAGTTTTTAAGTCAAGTGAAACTCTCCCTTAGATTCACTAATGACAGATTTATTTATTTATTTATTTTTTTAGAGTTATTACGGCACTAGTGGCTTGTTTTTTAATGGACAGTGGGCTGACAGGAAAGGGGTTATGAGAGAGGGAGAGACATGCCGGAAAGGACCACATGTCAGATTGGAACCCGGGTCGCCCGCGACGACTAAGGCTACGTTCACACTGCAGCCTGAAGTGACCCAAATCCAATTTTTGTGCCCATATGTGACCTTTATCTGATCTTTTCATGGCAGTCTGAACAACACAGATCCGATTTGTTCCAATCCGACCCAGGCCACTTGGCTCTGTGGTCCTGAATCTGATACGAATCTGATCTTTTCAAATGCGACCTGTGTCTGAACTGCCAGGTCGCTTTCATCCAACCTGAACCCCATTAATACCCGACAAAGGTCACTATTCTGGGTCTTGATATGAAGAAGCGGCAAGAAAAACAACAACCATGTCAGACGATGATGCGGAGAGCAGTATTTACAGGTGCTGGTCATAAAATTAGAATATCATGAAAAAGTAGATTGATTTCAGTAATTCCATTTAAAAAGTGAAACTTGTATATTATATTCATACATTACATACAAACTCATATATTTCAGATGTTTATTTTGTTTAATTTTGATGATTACAAATGACAACAAATGAAAATCTCAAATTCATCATATCAGAAAATTAGAATATTACTGAAGACCAATAAAAACAAAGGATTTATAGAAATGTTGGCCAACTGAAAAGTATGAACATGAAAAGTATGAGCATGTACAGCACTCAGTATTTAGTTGGGCCTCCTTTGGCCTGTATTACTGCAGCAATGCGGCGTGGCATGGAGTCGATCAGTCTGTGGCACTGCTCAGGTGTTATGATAGCCCAGGTTGCTCTAATAGTGGCTTTTAGCTCTTCTGAATTGTTGGGTCTGGTGTATTGCATCTTCTTCTTCACAATACCCCATAGATTTTCTATGGGGTTAAGGTCAGGAGAGTTTGCTGGCCAATTAAGAACAGGGATACCATGGTCCTTCAACCAGGTACTGGTAGCTTTGGCACTGTGTGCAGGTGCCAAGTCCTGTTGGAAAATGAAATCTGCATCTCCAAAAAGTTGGTCAGCTGCAGGAAGCATGAAGTGCTCTAAAACTTCCTGGTATGTGGCTGCGTTGACCCTGGACCTCAGAAAACACAATGGACCAACACCAGCAGATGACATGGCACCCCAAACCATCACTGACTGTGGAAACTTTACACTGGACTTCAAGCAACGTGGATGAAGTGCCTCTCTTCTTTTCCTCCAGACTCTGGGACCTTGATTTCCAAAGGAAATGCAAAATTTACTTTCATCAGAGAACATGACTTTGGACCACTCACCAGCAGTCCAGTCCTGTTTCTCTTTAGCCCAGGCAAGACGCTTCTGACGCTGTCTGTGGTTCAAGAGTGGCTTGACACAAGGAATGCGACAGCAGAAACCCATGTCTTTCATACGTCTGTGTGTGGTGGTTCTTGAAGCACTCACTCCAGCTGCAGTCCACTCTTTGTGAATCTCCCCGACATTTTTGAATGGGTTTTGTTTCACAATCCTCTCCAGGGTGCGGTTATCTCTCTTGCTTGTACACTTTTTTCGACCACATCTTTTCCTTCCCTTCGCCTCTCTATTAATGTGCTTGGACACTGAGCTCTGTGAACAGCCAGCCTCTTTAGCGATGACCTTTTGTGTCTTGCCCTCCTTGTGCAAGGTGTCGATGGTCGTCTTTTGGACAACTGTCAAGTCAGCAGTCTTCCCCATGATTGTGTAGCCTATAGAACTAGACTGAAAGACCATTTAAAGGCTTTTGCAGGTGGTTTGAGTTAATTAGCTGATTAGAGTGTGGCACCAGGGGCCATCAATTTTGAACCTTTTCACAATATTCTAATTTTCTGATATGATGAATTTGAGATTTTCATTTGTTGTCATTTGTAATCATCAAAATTAAACAAAATAAACATCTGAAATATATGAGTTTGTATGTAATGTATGAATATAATATACAAGTTTCACTTTTTAAATGGAATTACTGAAATCAATCTACTTTTTCATGATATTCTAATTTTATGACCAGCACCTGTATGTTTAACCATCTTGAAAAGAGTGTTTTATTGGTTGGGAAAGATCGCTAGATGCGCTCCGGCACTACCATCCATGTTTACTTCCGTAAACACAGAGCACGCTGGCCTGTGTTGTCATTACGTCCTCAGATAGTTCTGGGAGCCACAAAAAGCAACAATGTTCTGAATGCTAAGTTCAGGTGGAATGATGGAAAGTTGAGTTGAAGGAAAAAATGCACCTTGAGAATCAAAGCAGGAAATTAAGGCTCCAGTCATGAGCTGCAGCTGTAGCCGACATAATACAGAGTTGTTCTTAGATTATTATCTACAACTGTTGCATTTTTTCGTCTTTTCTTTTAATAGAAAGATCAGCAGAATTGTTTTATTTGAGCTTAGAGGAAAATGGAAGGTGAAGTTTCTGATGGCGTTGAGCCTAAATATTCTCGTGTTAAAAAACTTTTAAAAGGAAGCTGTGGGAAACTTCCTGCTTTCCGCTGCTGACAAACAGCAGAGGAGGAGGTTCCTTAAAATAGCTTCTTTGATGAACACGGTGTCACTCTGCTTGATTGGCCGGCAAAGCGGCCTGACCTGAGGCCAAACAGAGAAATCTATTGAGTTTTGTCAACAGGAAGATAAGAGGCGACAGAACTTTCAGTGCAGACGATCTGAAGGTCGTGTTAAAGGAATAGTACACCCAAAACATGATTAGCCTTCATTTTCTACTCACCCCCATGCTGAACAACACTCTGGAGTACTTTTTTGATATCTCAAATGCATCTGGAGATCTGGGAGGCTTCTTGCTGTCTGCTGACATTCAAATAATGGAGGTCTATGGCGCCCGAGACAGAAAGGTCCACAAAAGTCCACAAAAACGTGTCAATATTCCTCCATACTGCTCGTCCAATGTAATCCAAGTGTCCTGAGTGGGTAGCATCCAGAATTTACTCGAAACGAAGTCATTTAGAACGTTTTAGAGCCTAAACAGTAGTGTATAGGATTTCCTAACAGCGCCCCCATGCGCGCTCACGATTCTACGGAAGCCGGCAGACCAAACCGGAAGAAAGTGCGCATTCAGCGTCTGCTCTGCCGATAATGCAAGCGTAGAAGAAGAAATGTGCTGTTTACCTGTGCAAAGAAAGAAACAACGAAAGAAAAATGTCTGAGGACTTCAGTGTTGAGGAAGAGCATGAGTTCTTTGCCGAGCTGAATGCGCTGGTTTGGTCTGCCGGCTTCCGTAGCGTCGTGAGCGCGCATGGGGGCGCTATTAGGAAATCCTATACACTACTGTTTATGCTCTAAAAACATTCTAAATGACTTCGTTTCGAGTAAATTATGGACGCTACCCACTCAGGACACTTGGATTACATTGGACGAGCAGTATGGAGGAATATTGACACGTTTTTATGGACTTTTATGGACCTTTCTGTCTCGGGCGCCATAGACCTCCATTATTTGAATGTCAGCAGACAGCAAGAAGCCTCCCAGATCTCCAGATGCATTTGAGATATCAAAAAAGTACTCCAGAGTGTTGTTCAGCATGGGGGTGAGTAGAAAATGAAGGCTAATCATGTTTTGGGTGTACTATTCCTTTAAAGAAAACCAAGCTGATCGACTCCATGTTGCCCTTTTAGTTTATGCAAAAGAAGCCCTGATGAATTCCTTCTCTGTGAGCTCATCCTTCTGTGTGGAGAATCCTCTTTTTTGATATTTAAGGTCATATTTTGAAACTTTCTGCAAAACTAAATGTTTTAGTATTAGTAGATATTCTGTGCACCATCATCAAAATACCAAAAACTGAATGTAATGAGTCTATTTAAAATGATTTCTACATTTTTAAAAATATTTACGTTATTTAAATTAATTTGAAGCACCTGTAAATACATATTATTATGATTTACATCGCTATGGCAACTATACAGGCTGTCTGGTCCTGTGGCCTTATTTTAATCTTTTATTCTTACATCTACGCAGAGTAAGAATTTCATGTTTCAATTTTTTTCTAGCCTGAAAATAAGAATGAATAGAGATATAAAAAAGTTTCAGTGTTTTTAATTCATATCGTGTTTTATTTTTATTTGTTAAAAGCAGTTTTAGTTCCTCTGTAAGAGCTCAGTGATGTATGCCTAGCAGCATCTTATGTATTTGTTTACAACGTCCTTCCTGAACGTTTGCTCTTGTTAAAGACTGAAATATTTTTGCTCGTTCAAATTTCCATTTCAGAGAGGCTGGAAAATGTAAAGGTTATCCAGGCGAGATCTTTCCAAATTCTATCAAGGGATGGAAAAGTTGGGTCTGAAAGCCAGAGATTTCAGCAGCTGAGCAAACAGCCTGTATACTGTTTTCTTTTTTTTATATTGTGTTAGTGAGGAGGTTATCTAATAGGCTTGCTACAAACATTGAAATAGAAAAGGGTTTTGCTTCTTACAGGCATCATTTACCGAGCACAGACACAGTTTGATCATCCACTCTGATTTCAGGTGCAGCTAACCCATACACTGAGGCCAACTACAAGCCTTCCTTTCTCTCAGACGATGAACTGAAGCATCTGATACTAAGGGTGAGTGGGAAACGATCCCTCAGCCTTTTTACTGTTCAATTTCAAGCTGATGCCTCTGTTAAAAAATCGTTCTGTGTTTACAACGCAGGCTGCTGACGGTTTCCTCTTTGTGGTCGGCTGCGATCGCGGCAAAATCCTTTTTGTTTCCGAATCTGTATACAAGATACTGAACTACAGCCAGGTAGGCGAACATTTTATGGTAAAAAGAAAAAGAAATGTTTGATAAATAAATGTTACATTTTAAGGCCATTGCATTTCTATAAAACCTTCCTCCTGAAGTCTGGGTAGCATCATAAAGCTAGGATGTTATACAGGATCACACTGCAAAAAAAAAGATCTAGATATAAGTCAAAATGTCTTGTCCTGTAAGCCAGGCTTACACTGTGCAAATTTGGTTTGCCCTTTTCGGGGCGACTCTCCAGTCCTGCAAGAATTTTTCGATCGGGCCAACTTTCAGCCTGATTGTGCGTCGTGTAGTGTACTGGGAGTAACGATCAGCCTCTCACGACCACCTCCCAAACAGGAATCATGCGGTCGAGAGAAAATCAAACATGTTTAATTTTTATTCAGACGTCGTGGGCAAATCGCTCAGTGCGCAAACAAGGTTTCTCCTTCTTCTTATCAGATGAAAACACAGAAGCATGGGGGTGCGATTGAATAGGAGTTCTTTCAGTAAGACTGACAGATCGTAGTAGCCACGTTTGCTCAGCCATGTCTTTGTCCAAATACGTCGCCACCTTTTCTTTTTAGGGCTTTCAGCACAAAATTGCACAAATTACCAAGGCAGCGCGTTTCACTCTAGCAAACTTCATATTCTTCTTCTTCTCCGCCGTGGTTTTTAGACGTACAGTGTGAGCAGATAGATTGCATCAGAGCGTCATGCTGCACTGTGTGGGAACATACATCGTGAGCTGTGAACTCACAATGTGAGCTGTAGCTGTGTGCAACGATTGAAAAAATCGCACAGTGTATGCCCGGCTTTAAATTAAGTATATTTACCCTTAATTTGAGTAGGTTAATAATATGATTTGCCAAGGGAATGAGGATTTTTACTCTTAAAATAAGGTAATTAGATAATAAACACTTGAAATATGACAATGAAATAGTTTTTTTTTTTCTTTTTTAATGTAAATTGTCGTGTTCCTTTGGGAAGTGTCTCTTTTATCTCCTCAATTCAAGAAAAAATGCACTTAGTTTGAGAAAAAAATGAATTATTTAGATTTTCAGTTTTTTCCCAGGGCACTTAAGGTACTTTGGGGTTATCTCCGAAGGATGATATGAAGTTAATGTCGAAAAGAGTTTAGATTCAGCAGCTTAATGAAAAAAGACACAGTTGTTGCTGTATGAAAGAAGAAAAAATTTTTTGTTTTTTTTCTTCTTAGGACTAAATAATAGTAAAGATTTTAAGTAATTATGGAAAACATGTTCATTTAAATGTGTACATACATGACATTTAGTTTTAAGTCTTAAACAGTTATTAAAAATGCATCCTATTCTGATGTTACATGGTTTTAAAGAGATAAAGTGTAAATTAAAAGGAGATCCGTGTCTGAAGATGAAAATGTTATGTTACAGTAGAAAAAAACAAGTGTTGCTTTAACACCTGCAGAGTTTAATATGGCTCAGTTTCAGATAACATTTGGTCCAACTCCAAATGAGTGTAAAATTTACTATATAGCTAGTGTCTCAATTTTAAGAGTTAATTTTACTCACATTAGTGTCAAAATCAAGAAGATCTATCAGAGACTGGCGAATAATCGACACCATGTAGAGGAAAAGTTACTCTGCATGGCTATCCAATTTTACACTGATTATTAACTCCAACACTCCAGTAAATACTCCATTTAGGATTACATTTTACTGTGTAAAAAAGTTTGTGAACTTCTCAACAGAAAAATTAGATCTTCAGCTGTAGAGAGAAAACATCAGGAATTCTGCAGGATAGTTAATCCTAGAAAATTAAATGATCTCAAAATATTGTAGAGGTCCTAAAATAGGTAGTAAACTCAACTCTACGACTCCTGTGTTGAGCCTGTTTTTCTTTAAAAAAAATGGAGGCTTGGCAGTGTCAGTCAAATCAATAAGATGGTAAAGGAAGGGAAATGGAAATAAAGAGGGTCTCTGAAAACCTCACTTTCTTTCAATAAGGCGATCTATCAGCATTGCTTTGACTGTTTGCTAGAATGAAGATGGGAAGAATCCAACATGTGGTGAAATTAAATAACTAAACTAATTCTTACTTATTTTTTGTTTTCCCTCTGGTTGTTTTCATGCTATCTGGTTCTGCTGCCGTCTCAAGAATGACCTAATAGGTCAGAGTTTGTTCGACTACCTTCACCCCAAGGACATCGCCAAAGTCAAAGAACAGCTGTCGTCTTCAGATACAGCCCCAAGAGAGAGACTTATTGACGCTAAAAGTAAGCAAGGACAAACGCATATCTGTTTTTAGGCAATCAGCCATCTGGTCAACAGTGATCCGCCGTCTGAATTTACACTTTAATCTGCTTTTTGATCCCTTAAAGAAAAGAGGAAAAGAAACCAGCCTAAGTCACGAACCTTTGAGCAGAAAAAGGATCTGGGTTTTGATAAAACTATTTCAATAATTAGGATCTGGTAGCTAAAATATCCATGAAATGTCACAATAATGTGGATTTCATTGATTATTACCAGGAAAAATATCATCAGAATAATAAATTGAGATCAGAAACTTGCAGAAGGTGAAAAGAATAAAATAAGCATCAGTTGAACACTGGAAAAACTGAGCTGCAGTAAGAATAAGTGACATTTCTTAAAATGTGTGTATTTGCCTTAACTTTGACGGGTAAATAAAATAATCTACCAATGTAAAGAGTATGTTAGCCCTTAAAGTAAGTAAATTAGATACTGTACACAAGAAATAAATAATGGAATACATAAATCATTTTATTCCATTTGGCATTTTCTCTTCTGCTACGTTCAGACCGCAAGCTGCAAGAGTAGGAAAAACGTGCGTGCTGCTTCATTTTGGATGCTTGTACAAGTTTAGTTCTGATGCGCGGCTAAAGCAGCTTTGCTGCTCTGGCTGCGCGATAAAAAAGTAGGTCAGCTATATATGCTTTGATCAGTGTTTTAAAAAGTAGTTTTAACATGTTTTCCAGTGAGAAAGTCCACCTGAAAAATTCCTCCCTCTGTGAAGTCAGTTCATCAAGATTACTATCCTGCCTTCAAATATTATTTCGCTTTCTTAGCCGCTCAGTCCCCCACATACTGGCGGTGCGCTGTCATTAGGAATCCCATTCAACAGCAGCCTGTGGCCCGGTCGCCTCTTTGCGGTTTGCCACGGAGGCTGGAAGGCCGTTTTTACCAGGATAATAAAAGTTGACATGTTTTGCTGGGAGATTTCGGGATTTTAAGTTAATTTAGGCATTATTAAACTGTTTCAGAGGAGTGAGCATAGTGATCTGTTTCATCAGTGCTGTTCCTCTTCTTCTGCCAGCTCCCAGATCAGCTTCTCTGATTGGTTGATGTGGCACGCTGACCAGCAAAAAGTTAAATTTTTCAAACTCCAGCAGCTGCTGCGACGTGCCGCTCCTGCTGCTCCGCCCTGCGCGCCTCGCTGCAGGATGTTTTGCTGCGCCTTGATGCGCGTCAACCACTGACTTTGCATGTAATCTAGCTGCTCCTGCTGCCTTTGCTGCTTTAGGTGCGAACGTAGCATTATTTACCTGCTCAAATCAAAGGGAAAAACACTTATTTCACCAAAATTTGACCTGTCTGTTGACATTTTTTAGTTTTTTTTCCTGTCCTTTTCCAGAACTAGAAGGATCATTTAATTACACTGAAGGGGTAGAAATGGTTATTTGTGGGAAATCGGTAACATGCTATTTTTAAAAGCTGTTGTAACATGAATTGCTTTGTATTTTCAGCCGGTCTTCCCGTGAAGACGGACATCACTCCTGGTCCCTCTCGGCTCTGTTCTGGAGCCAGGCGGTCGTTTTTCTGCAGGATGAAGTGCAACAGGCCTTCTGTCAAAGTAGAAGATAAAGACTTTCCCTCCACCTGCTCCAAAAAGAAAGGTACCAATGGCTGGAAGAAAAAAAATCACTTTGACTTTGTTTCTCTCTTGCAGCAGCTGCAGCTTTTTTTCTGCAGCCTGAATGGATTTTCTCTTTGTTTTATACCAATGATTGACACGGTTCTCTTTACACTTTCAAATGTTCATCTCTCATACATAAGATGTAGTTTTGGTCACAAAAGGAAAACCTTTTATTTTCTTGTTGCTTTCTGCCTTTAGTTTCTCTTTCATTCTAAAAAGGAATCACAGCTCAGTTGGCAAATCTGTGTTTCTATTATAAAACCAAGGATGTCTGCTCACTTGAATACATCTCCTACCTATGGTGTATTTATAGAACAGTCACTGCCCTCAAAAATCATGACTATTGTCCTTTGCAATGGTTCTTGCATTCGTTATAACTCTAACATGTTGGGATATTACTAGCACTAAGCTTGGTTTGGTTTAAGCTAGGAAACCTAAATAGAAACTACGTTACAATCATGCATTTTTTTTAAATCACCTGAATAGTGAGGAGACAATTTGCATCTTATAGCTTCAAGTCTTGTAGGGATTCCAGCTGTGCAGATTTAGAAACTGATTGGTATTTTCTTTGCGATCTAAATCAGGCATCCCCAAAATCAGGCTGTCCTGCAGGTTTTAGACGTCTCCCTGCTCCAGCACAGCTGATTTACATTGATAGTTGATAAAGAGGCGTTTGCTGAACTGCAATCATCAGAATCAGCTGTGCTAAAGCAGAGAAACCTCTAACAACTGCAGGACAGCAGTGTAACATATGTTTGGCTGAAAATGGCATATTTGCTGTTCTATGAGCCCTAATGCAGCCTGGTTAAAAGCCCTTGAATGAAACGACAGGTTTTCTTCCTTTTATGGTTTGATCATGAGTATTTAGATGAGCTGTGCACTGATTGGTTGGTTTACAACGAGCAAAGCTGCTGAGCAAAGACGCATCATAGCAACAAGCACTCACTCACTGAAACATCAAAAATGTCGATATGGTAGGGCAGGGATGTCAAAGATAAAAAATTTGCTACAAGCCGATGGCCGGCCTGGTTAAATGTTTATTAAAACATTGAAATAAACATAGCCTTTTGAACCAAGAGCTGACACATTGTTTTAAAAAAAATATTAATATTATTAATAAACTTTTATTATATTGATAAACTTAAAAAGATAAATACATAAATGAAAGTGCATGTATTATAAAGCAAAAATGCATCACTGTGCTGCTCTATGATCCTAGTGACCACCGCTTTTAAATAGTAAAATAAGAAAATTCAAATTTGCATTTGCAATCAAAGCAGTTGTATTCCATTCAACCGAAAAATATAAATAATACCATCTTTTCCCCTAGGAAAGTATTGTTGGTGCATGCAACACAGCCGCACCAACACTACATTCCCCACAATGCAACAGTAGCCCACGAAGTCACAGCAGCGCGCACAATATTTAGTTTCACATATTTACTCAATCGTTTGGTTGAAGATAGAAACGGAGAGATAACTTAATTCGTAGAAAGAGCATCTAATCTCTGGATTTAAAGGTTCTCTCCTGAATTTGAACTTTTTTACTTTCTTGCCGAGTCATTTGGGATGTTTTATATTAGACTTCAGTAAAAACAGCAGAAACAGTCTTTAAATGCTCCTGTTCAGGACCCAGGTTGTTGGAAAAAGTTTCCTGAATGCTGAAGGACTCCTTTGTTTTGCAGCAATCTTGTTTTTCAGAAACTACAGTTGCTTAAATGTTCTGACATGTTAAAGAAGAACTTCATCATTTTTTGAGTCAAATTTAGTTCATATAATCTCGTTTCCTCAGCTGGCATTTTTCCGGATTAGTACAAAGTAAAGCTTCAGCTAACCATTATTTTGTAAATTGATTAATAATCAGATGACAAAAAGAGAATTTAAAGTAGCTGAGGCTAAAACGTAAAACAACTTTTTGGTTTTTTTACAATTTTGGTTCATTTACTCCTCAGAAGGTTTGCTCTTTCAGCTAATGGCTTGTTTTAGAGTCTATATATTTGTTAATTATTAGTTGATTACTAAATTAGTAAATTATTTCAATAATGGATTAATCCGATAAATTGTTTCAGCTGTATTATAAAGTCTTTCTTACATTGTCGGAGGGTTTTCCCTGTGAGCTGCGGAGGCTGGAGGACGGATGAGTCATGCAGATGGTTGATGTGACCCAGCTTAGTCGCTGGTGGGATTTGGTGAAGCATTGTTAAATTCAGTAGGCATTTGCACCCCCTTAAAGCAAAGTCACGCAGCACTTTGCACGAAGCCACTGTAGTTTATATTTTTAGCATTTTGCTAAATATTTAATTGTCCTCCTGCTTTTGTTCTGCTTTACACGGGTTACCAGAAAGCTCCCGTCATGAACTTAACCATAATTTGATCGTTGCTTTTAACCAAATCTGATCCGACAAATAGAAGCTATAACACAAGGGAATAAATAACTAAAGGTCGCCATAAAAGAAGTTTTAAAATCTTTCTGAGAACCATTTAGAAAAGGGATTATTTAGATGCAAATGTAATTTTTTTTTTTGCTCTCATCTCCATGTTAAAATATAAAGAAAGTGTAATGGGATGAATGTTTTAAATGAGAGTAAATGCAGAAAATGTAGTAGAATATATAGTAAGGATATTTATTTGGGTTTGTAAGTATTTTCTAATGTTAAAATCTATATTTCATGATTTTGCTCTTTGAAATCATGGGTTTTACTTAGTGGTGATCACGTGTTTGAGGCATTTTAATGATGTATTCTGTCACCATTTTATCCTGATTTCAAATCTGAATTAAAGCTTCTGTTTTCAGCTTCAGTCAGTTGTACATATATATATTTTTCCAGAGCCTTGACAAAGCGTTGACTCTTGTTTAATTTTCCCTTTTTTTCCCATCTCATCTCAGCTGACCGGAAGAGCTTCTGCACCATCCACAGCACAGGGTATCTAAAGAGCTGGCCCCCCACCAAGATGGGGCTGGACGAAGACAACGAGCCGGACAACGAGGGCTGCAACCTGAGCTGCCTGGTGGCCATCGGCCGCCTACATCCCCACATCGTCGCCCAGCCCAGCCCGGCAGACATCAGGGTGAAGCCCACAGAGTACGTCTCCCGACACGCCATCGACGGCAAGTTTGTCTTCGTCGACCAGAGGTGAGAATTAGGGGAGAGTTAAAAAAAAAAAAAATGCATTTCACTTAGTTTCAACTGACTTAGACAAACTTAGTTGTCATTTTCAGGGTTTCCGCGAGTCATTAAAAATCATTAAAAGTCATTAAATTGTTATTTTTTAAATTAAGGCATTCATTGGCATTAAAATGCATTAAATGCGATTACAGTGGCATTACAAATGCTCTATTTAAAATAAAAAGGTTTATAAAAATAATTTAGTCTTATATATTATTTCAGATATAACTACTTCATGTTTGTTTGCACAGAGCTGCTTACAGTTGAACGTAAAGCCGTATGTTAGGAAAACGAGCTCAAGGCGGAGAAAAAGCTAGATAATTGGTAGACATTCCAAGACTCCCGGAAGTTCTGGGAGTCTCCCTGGTACCGATAGTTGTTCACGATGTCTGCGAGTTGGATAAATTATCACGGATTTTAGACTATGTGACGTAGTGTTTTTTTGTTTTGTTTTTTTTAATAAGCAGGAGTTTTTGAAACTTGGGGTGTATGGTAAGGGAAAATGCAAATTTGAACAAAATGTGACTGGAAAACAAGGAATTCGGGAAATGGCTGCAGCCTGTGGACGGTGCCTCATTGTTCTAGAGGCGCTTAATGACAGACGTATATGAACGAGGCGTGCGATGCAGCGTTTTGATGTGTTTCTAACATGGACTTTGCATGTGAAGCAGAAGCCGTTGATGCTGAAAACGCATTTGCTCTGAAAGGAGTTAAAACGCTGCAGCTCAGGTTATAAAGTCATCAAAATCTGGTTTGGTCTATTCTTTCAAACCAGCTAAAATGAATGATGAAACGAGTAAAAAGTTTCTCCGAAACGTACAGAAAGGCCTGCTGGTCTGACGACTGTGAAGAATAACAGCTGCTGATGACTGCTAACAGACAAACTAGCCGTCTCTCTAACATAAAGCCAAAATCAACATTCCTGTTATGTTTAGTTAAGTTACCTGTCCAGCAGAAAGTCTGGAACCTCCTTGTCTGTTATGATACCTCCTCACCTGCTCCTCATTAATTGTCTCCATCTGGTAAAAGCTAACAGACTCTCATTTTCTCCCGGTTATTCTTTTTTTATTTCCATAACTCCTAAACTTTGATTTTTAAAGGTATAGTGGTGGATTTTCTTTTTCTCAGTGGATCATCTAAATAAGTGGTCCTCCTAATTGTCAATCATTCTGGTGATGTGTTTACGTAAGCCCTTCCTACGTGCTGGTCCCCATTTTCACTTGCAGATGGTTTTTTTAAGTAGAGAGGGCGAGTCTTCTCAAAAATTTCACTAAAATCCTCCCCTATACCTTTAAGTTAAAATAAGTTAAGATAAATACATGATCCACTCAAGAATATCTGTTACATTTAGAGTCGTTGTCCTAATATAATTTTTCTATGGGAGCCCAGAAAGGTCAAACTAAGCATATATTTTTCTTCTAGTATCAGTTTGCAGGTAATGCTCAATGATGTACTGATATAATCAAGGCTTGTGGAGCTGGCTTAGCCCCAACAGGCCTGGTGTGGCCAATCAGGGACGTTAGAGAAGCAGGATGACTTCTGCCAACCTCGCCCCATCTGTCATTTCTCAACACATACGGCGATGATTAAGAGGCGCCGTAGTCCCACCCTGAAGTTAGTCATAAAAGGGGTTACAAAACGGGTTAAAAAGGGGAATAACTGAACTGTTGTGGCTGTTTTTGTACAAACACCCAGTGGTGGATACATACTGCGTTTAGTCTTAATGATCAAATAAGGATGTTCAACAATGTTTTCTTTTGGGGGCAAAAAAAAGCCTTTTAGAGACTTGGAATATTCAGCTTTTTAAAAGTCAAAGTTGATATAAAAAGTTGATAAATCTGCTGGATTTCTGTCTCCAGAGCAACAGCTATCCTCACCTACCTTCCCCAAGAGCTGCTTGGAACCTCCTTCTATGAGTATTTCCACCAGGATGACATCAGCCACCTAGCAGAATGTCACAGACAAGGTATCGCCCAAAGGTTAACTAAAACGATAAAGAAAAATGAAGGAAGGCAGCGGTAGGATGATTGTGTTTTGTTTTGTTTTTTCTTCTTAGTCCTGCAGATGAGAGAAAAGATCAACACCAACTGTTACAAATTCAAAATCAAAGATGGCTCCTTTATAACGTTGAGGAGCAGATGGTTCAGCTTTATGAACCCTTGGACCAAGGAGGTGGAGTACATCGTCTCTACGAACACCGTCGTATCGTGAGTATCTGTACAGGATGAGTGATCAACGTCAGGCTGTAGAAAATGGCTCATTTTTCCATTTGCGTTTTCCTCTCCAGGTGTCACATAATGGAAGGATCAGATTACCCTCAGTCTGCTGCTTCCCCACAGAGTATGGACAGCGTTCTGACCTCAGAGGGTAAATTGATGGAAAAACATTAGAGTGAACCCTCCTCTGTGAGCCCATATGTTACCTCTCTGTATCAATGACGTTTGCTGTGGCTTGGCAGGCGGCGGGAGACGAGCTCTGCAAACTGTCCCTGGCATCCCTGGTGGCACTAGAGCGGGAGCGGGGAAGATCGGCCGCATGATAGCGGAGGAAGTGATGGAGATTCAGAGGTGAGGCAGCAGATCGGCTCTTTGCCTTCTGAGACGGGATAAACCTGAAGTTCCTGTAATGGAAAATCACTGCGGCCCGCTTTGTAGCGCTCGCATCGTTACGTGAGGCCAAGGTGTGATTTAGCGGCTAATAAAGGCCTTCTGTTGGAGCTGGCAGCTGGGGAGGCATCTGTGGAAAATTGTGAGCAGGATTTCACGCAGTCTGAACTGAAACATCCCATTCCACACACACACAAAAAAAACTAACATAAGGTAAAGGAAGAGTCTGCATATGTTCTAGACTGGATGAACTCAGTGAACCCATCTCCAACGATTGGCTCCTCTGGAGAGGTCACTGAAAACATGCACAGAGCCTTCTATTAATTTAAAGCTGAGGAAGTTCTGATCAATGTGATTAAATGTAGCTTATATGTGTGTTTGATGGACTGTCCATATGTGTGCACAAAGGTGAAGATGTACAGATGTTTCTATTGTTCTTCTCAGACCCAAGTGACATTTGATGTGTTTGTCAGATGTGTACTTTAGTCTTTTTCACGTGGACAGAGCTGGGATTAGTGATGCCTGGAGGTGTATTTGATCTCAGGAGCTCTGAACGTGTCCGTCTGTCTTCCAGGATTCGAGGCTCCTCCCCCTCCAGCTGTGGTTCCAGCCCTCTGAACATAACCAGCACCCCTCCACCGGACACCTGCTCACCAGGGGGCAAGAAGGTGAAGCCAAACTGCACAAACAAACATCATTTCTGCCTCGTCTCCACCTTTTTAGCAGTTACCTCAGTCACCCAAATGTTTGTGCTACAGCTGAAACCAAGCACTATTTTGCTGATCTATTGTTTAATTTGAAGGCAAATAGTGCTTAATGTGGTTATTTTATTACAGGGTTAGAAACAGGTAAAACGATATGATGAGGCCTTCTGGATAAGACATATTTACAGACTAAGAAGGTTTTATTTCATATATGCAACATGTAATTATACGTTGTACAGGTTTAACTTAATTACTGACTTTAGTTTGTTTTTTATGCAAACATCATATTTAAAGTATTTTATACAGAACTAAAAGATTTTCAGCTCATAATTATTTATGGGGTCAGAATTCTGCCAAAAGTTCCTACATATAATAAATGCCGATACAAGTCCTTTTATTTAAAACACGCAGATACAAAGTACTCCCCATGTGCATTTTGAATATTTTATGCGCGTAGAATCAATACCATGAAGCTTCCACTATATCACAAGCATTGAAGGTGGAGCCAACCTAAGAAAGCACCTTCCTGTGATTGGCTACTTTTCAGGAAATCCCGCCTCTTGAGACAGTACTGTTTACTTCCTGGTTATGGCTAGTAGTGTTAGCAAAGCATCTTCATGCTGGTCATTTTTCTCAAAAATAAGTAAAAAATCTATTTATTGAGGAAAGTGAGGCTTGAATGAACTTGTTTTATGTTGAAAGCTTGCATTTACATTTCTAATCAGTTTTCAGCGACTGTTAAGCAATGTTTTTTTCTCCGTTCCGTTTTCAGTTGATGACAAGAATGGATGCTGGATATGAAGTCAGGATTTAACTTGTAACTAAAATGGCTATTAGCCTGAAGATGCTTTACTAACGTAACCTTTAGCCGCAACAAGAAAGAAAACAGTGACAGTTTCCCAATATGTGTACTTGTGTGTGTTCCCGTGTGCTAGTGAAACGTCATCAGCCTCAGCCCTAATACTGTTCCAGAGAATGAACAAAGTCCCCGGATGTTGTTCTCGCCCCTCCCTGTTTACCCAGCATGCATCGGAGCAGACTTGTCCATTGTGGAAATTGACAGCTGTCCCAGCATGCACTGCGGCAGCAGCAGCTTTCAATAGATCGCTCCACTGAAAGTTAAAAGTTCTCTTTTCTGTTGCTGTTGTTCAATAAAAGTACGTTTTAAGATCATTTGGGGTGAAAATTTTATACTTATTAAGCATCACTATATGGCCCATTTACTGATTTAATGCATAATTTAAAAAAAATGTTTTGTGTTGAGAGGGCCGTGGCAACCAGCGGACCTCTGAGGCTAACGGCTAACGTTAACCCGTCTGCAGCAGCCCTCTCTGGGCATAGCTGTGTGTGAAGGAACGCTGGCTTTGATGGCCGTTTTTTAATTTATTTTGCAAAATGTTTATTTGTGTTTATCTGACTTTGTTAACTATTACTCCCCCACAAAATGAAATTGACCAATATTTATGCTGCGTGCTCCGGTTCTCTCACAGAGTCCAGACCTTCCTGTGTTCTTCTCAAACACAGACTTGGTGAGGACGCATCCGTGAGAAACTGACAGTCTTTTCTCGAGGTGCGGGATTTCCTGAAAAGCAGCCAATCACATTGCACATTGCAAATCATAAACATTTGAGTTTTTAATATTTTTGTGATCATCTGTATAATAATAAAATCCTGGTAACACTATATTGTACAAATTTTGGTCCTCTTGCAAATGTGAGTTTTTTCACCCGTTTAATAGAAAAAACCTTTTTGTTTTCGTTTTATGGCAAACTTTAAAGCAAAAATAACTAAGAGATTTCATATTTATTGAATAAACGTGTATTTACCTTCAGTCTACATCCAAGTCAGCTTCGCTCCTAAAAAAAAAACTGATTGGATTTTATTGTAGGGGTTCAAAAATGATACAGATAACTTGTTCTGCTCAAGTTATTTCCCTGCAAAACCTTTTTTCCGTCCTATAAACTGAGCCCACTTTACTCGCTGATGTGTCTGTAGCTATTAACCAGCTTCTATCGAACAAAAACCGACAATCAAGTAATCCGTCAACATGGGATTCCGGCTTCGCTCCCAGGAGCCTCCTGTCCTGTTTCTGCTTTAGACTGAGAAAACCTCCTCTGTGCTTCCTTTGCAGATTCAGAACGGTGGGACACCGGAGCTGCCGAGCTCGGGGATCCTTCCTGGACCCGATTCTGTGGGCTACCCGTACTCCAACCAATCCATCATGAGTGAGTCCCGCAAAAAAACACGTTTAAAACAGGCTGGTCACTCCATTAGAATATGGAGAATTACTTCACTGCATTTGGGTCTTATTTCATTAATATTTGTATTATTTCTATTATTAAATTGTACATTTAAGATTTGAATCATACTTTAGATAAATATAAATAATAATTTCATTGTAAATGTATTGTAATGTATCAGACATTTATACATTTAAGGCGCGTTTGGCCCTCCGTATACTTCAGCATTCACATCACACAGATGCATCCTTTTCTTATGAATCCTTTCTTTGTTTAGGTGATAACTCCCACCTGGGCATAGACATTATGGACGAGCCGGGTTCCAGCAGCCCCAGCAACGATGAAGCCGCCATGGCGGTCATCATGTCTCTGTTAGAGGCCGACGCCGGGCTGGGCGGCCCCGTCGACTTCAGTGACCTGCCCTGGCCTTTGTGAGGCATCTGGAAGGGAAGATCTGGAGCCACTGATGGAGAGAGTTTGGTCATCCTGTTTTATTTTTATTTTTTTGTTTTTATTTTTTCCTTGGATCTCAAGTTTTTTTTTTTTTTTTTTTTTGCAATCTGTGCACAACTACACTGAAAAAAATGGCGTCTTGAAAAGAGTATTTTGAGTTTGTAAATACTGAAGATTTTTTTATTCCCAGGAAAGACGTATCCGCTTTAGACTTCCACTCTCCTACTCTTTGATTCATCATTCCTTGTAGGTGGGCCTGGTTCTCATGGAGACAAACTATGTGGTGTTGATAGCTCCTGCACCAAATGACGCTTCATTTTTCCAGTGTCGGTTGCCAGCAGATCGAGCGCCTCGTCACGCCGTGAGCGACGGCCTCTCAGACCGCGGCCTCGGAAGCAAACGTTACAGAAATGTGGTGCTAACATGTACATGTTGCTTCACTGACTCCTGTCCAGCAGTGGCTCTGGGACCCCCCCTCCCCCACCTAGCAAAAACAGGTCAATGACCAACCTCCCTCCCACCAACCAACCCTGGACTTCTGACGGGTTGAAAGACTGAATTCTGTTGTGCAACTTGTGCACCATGCTGCGGACGTCTAAACGCCCTCTGAGGGTTCACGTCCAGGACCCCCCCCCCCCCCCCCCCCCCAACATAAGGACACCGTTTCATCTCAGCCAGCTGGAAGCAAAAATAAACCGTTTTGATGGTTCGCTTTGAAGATTACACAAAGCATTTTTCCTTTTTTTTTAAAGGTGTACTTTAGTTTAAGTCGATATTATCAAAAACATTTAAAAATCTTTTCTGCCAATTTCTCCGATTAAAACCGTAAACGCTTCTCTTTCCATCTGTCCTGCATTCAGTTTGACATAGAAACTGAGAATTCATCCCAAAGCAGCCTGCAGTGCTTCACATGGAGCGAACTCTATATATGTTCAGTAGAGGTCCCATCAGGTCCAGATCGAGGTGGAAATCAGCCCCTTTAATGTTTTTTTTTAAGTCTACAAAGCTCTGCTAAAATGGCAGGTTTGGCGTCACGAACAGAATTTAAAACAAAAATAAAATTTGGACTGGATCAAAAACCGTCGATATAAAACAATTTGAAGGCTGCAGCGTCCTTCTATTGATGAGCTTCTCCTAAAAGCTGCTCTTGGCTTCGGTCGTTTTCACATCATAAACTTTTTTCAATGTTTGGTCGTCATTGAGGGAAAAAAGAACCTTTGAGCATCTTGTAATTAAAGTAAATTCAAATGCAGAGCTGCGTCTCTTTACTGCTCCAACTCCTACCTGTAATCTAGATACCATCCTTTAATGGAGCAAAAGGAAACTAGTTAATTTGGATTAAAAGCTGTTTATTATTATAGCACCATTTACTCCATGTCTGTTAAGGCAGGGTTCATTCAGATCCTGTTTTACTGAATTCAGTCAGATCTTCTTTAAAATCAGTCAATTTCATCCATTCAAGGTGTGGCGCCTCATATTTCAGCTCAGTCAAATTCATCTGATCAACCGGTAAAAGCTCATTTTTTAGGGAAACCCGTCACCTATTGTTTTCAGATTGTAGAAGGGAAGCTCCAAAACAGAACCAGATCTGGGTTCCTTTTACTATTTAATTCTGTTTAGGAAGGAAATGGTTAAGCTGACGATCACAGAGTCGATGACCATATACCCAAAAGGATGAAAGAGAACACATCCAGTTAGTCACAGTCAAAGCTGAGCCCATAGCTATGTCTATGAGAGGAACAGGACTGAATACTGAAAAACAGACCTAACTCTGTTATCAGTAATGGAAGATGTTGATGGCGGCAACCAAACTGATGTTTCTCTCCAGACCAAACAGAATCAGGCCAAAGCTGCTGTGATGAGAAAAACGAGAAAACAAAAGGGTATGGGTGGAACTAAATTACTGCAGAATGGGAGAATAGAAATGTGATGAAAAGGGGTCCCCATGTCCTCCAGCAGTCGAAGGCTATAGCAGCATAACTATAGAGATAACCTGATCCATTCTTACTAGAAGCTTTATCCAAAGGAAAGTTTGAAGCCTAGCCTTAAAGGTAGACAGGGTGTCGGCCTCACAGACTAAAACTCCTACAATGCATTAGAAATAAAATAAAACGGGGGGGAAAAAAAGAAAAGTGATCTTAAACACAAAGTAGCTAATCTGCCTGATTTTCCATGTTGCTCTCAGACTTTAACAGGATTCCTCAATTGGAGGCCCTTCAAGCTGCTGCAGCAAAGAATCCGACTCGCCGGGGTGTTTCATACGTTTGTATTTTCAAATCTCTAAGAGCTCTTCTTCACTGCCTCTACTTTATTTACTCTTAAGAAGCACTTCAGGCTGGTGGAGAGTAAATTCTAATCTGTTGGGATGGATCAAGTAGGACAGGTCCTCAGAACTTCATGATTTATTTTGGCTCACAGCTCATTTATAACTTAACTGCTGAAACAATAATTAGTTTCTGGATATATAAAAAAAAAAGAAACACTAGAATGTTTTAAATTTGATCAAATGATCTCCAGCTAAAAAGCAGATTGTGCTGTGGCTGCACTAAGCTGTTCATTCAAACCAACCTCTGTAGAGGAGGGGGCTGCTGAATGCCAGATCAAGAGCGATGGGGCCTTTTGTTTTGTTTAGAGGAGGTCTGGGCATCTCCATCTTTGCCTGTGTGGAAAGAAACAAGTGGATCCTGCAAATAAATTTAGCTTATTTAGAAAAAACATTGAACAGGAGAAAATGTCCTTTTATTTTGACTCTATTTCAATGTTTTAGTAGAGCACTAAATACACTAAGCATCTGTTTAAACACTCTGGAGGGCAAAGAAGACAACTTCTACTGTAACAGAACAGTGCCTTGAAAACTCCGTCGTACAACTCCAGCTTTTTCTAAATTTCGTTTGCTTCTTGGTACAAACTTAAAAGTATTTAACAGGCATTTTATATAAGAGATCAAAACACAGTAGCCCATGATTCAGAAGTGAGAGAAAAACTAACTGAAGGATTCATTTCAGCCCTGATGAGTCTGTAGTTTGTCTGCTGATGTTTGCTCTACCAGCTTTAAACATCTAAACATTAAAGCTTTTTGAAGCCTCACAGGTTTCCTTCAATTATTTCCCATTTTCTAGCCCGATAATTTCACCAGCTTGATTCTACCTGCTGAAAAAAGGCATTCCCTCAGCATGATGCAGCCACCGCCATATTTCACTGTAGAGAATGTCTTTCAGGGCGATGTTCTACATCTCAGTCTCATTTTGGTCTCATTTGGAAGGAGCAGTATGTTCCACATGTTTACTCTACGCCCTGCATGGCTAATGGGTGAACAGCAGCTCTGGGCTTTCTTTTAAAAAAAGCATTTATTTGGATTTGGATCGCATAGATGACCTGTAGACAGATTCTCCCACCTGTGAATCTCTGCAGCTCCTCCAGAGTGACTTGGCTCTCCTCTGATGGAAGCTCTCCTTGTCCGGCTCATGTTGCTCAAGGCTCAAGGCTTTGCTGTTGCTACGGTTACTTTCCTTTTTCCAAAGTTCAGTGGAACAGTTCAGCGTTATTTTAGGGTGTCAGAGTAAAGGGGTCTGAATAGGAATACATGATTATTAACAGGAAAATGTGAAAACCAGAATTTGACCCCAAATTTCCATAAATATGGAATGAATTTTGATTCATTATTTTGAGCTAAAAGTTTTTTTTTTTTTTTTTTTTAAGAGATTACAAAAAAAATGCAATTTAGAAATAAAAACTATGCATTTTCTCATAGTTTGTTTTAAAATGTTTCTCTTTCAAATGTTTTTTTAATGTTATTTTTTTCATCAGATTTTGTATTTTCAAATTTATGTTTCTTTTCAAGCTAAAAAAATATATATTATTTTTTTGCAGATATGTATTTTTTTTTAAATCTGCAACAAAAAAATATATATATGCAATATAATATATGAAAAATACATTTGAGGAAAAAAGCGAAGTTGCTCTCAAAACCTATTTTTTTATTAAAATGCTTTAATTTTTGGTTCTTTTATTTTTCCAAACTTTAATTTACAAATTAGTTTTTTTTCTTCAAATTTCCCTTTGTTTTTTTTGCTTTCACCAATAATGTAAAAAAATGGCCTCTCTATATTACAATAGAAAACCGTGAAATTAGTAGTAATATAAAAAAAAAAGAATATAAAATATGGCTCGGTTATTTTGCTTCGATCAGGAGTTTGATTGTTTAAAACGGTTTAAAATAAACGGAAATATTAGTTATGAGATTTTAGCTAGTCTGTTTTCCTGATTCATGTTGATACTTTTACTACAAATAAATAAAAATTGATAGTTTAACATTTAAGGAGCATAAATGCAGGAAGTTAAAAACAGCTGCTCTTCTAAATCACCCTGTAGTTTATTTTTCATATTCTTTACCGATAAATTATTGCAACTCTTATCAGGAGAGCAGTTCAGTGCTGAAAAGTTGATTGAGTCACATTAAAAGCAGTGACAGGAAATCAAAGTGACCAAAAGCAACAAAAGTTAAATTAAAACCTTTAAAAGAAAACAATCTTCAGGTGTAATTCTCTAATGCAATCCAATTAATTAATTATAGAATCATTTCACCCTAAAAGTAGCGTTACACCTTTTTAACCTCTGACTAAACATAATCCAGATTCCCAGATGAAAGTGAAGTGTTCTTTCCACACAGGCAGAAAGTTTTGACACCCCTCTGAAACTTTGGCCTTTTTTTATTTTATTTGATCAACTTTTCTTCCTCCTCCAATCAGAGCTCAGCTGGCGAGGTCCGTTTCTGTTCCACTTGTTTCTGATTCAGCGTTTCTACACGACACTACAAAAAAAAAAGTGTTTCCCTTTGTTTATATACCCCCCCCCCCCCCCCCCCCATCTGATGATAATGTATCAAATCTTTAAATATTATCATGTTAAGAGTATACTTTATGCAAATAAATATATGAGTATGATGAGTGTGTTGTATGTATCAGCAGTGAACTATTTTTAAAATAAAAATTGTTTCTGTCATAGCAGGATTGTCATTTTTTTTTTTTACATGTTTTTTGTTTGGTTTGTACCTGATGGCCTCTTTCGGCCAATCGGAGCGCCTGGTTTTATTTTTAAATGACGTTGCCATGCAGCGCAGGAAGATCTGCCTCCTCTAGGAAAACATGGTCTTTCTTCAGCTGAATGGAGGTCAGCAGAAGATGCTGAGAGGTAAACACTAAATAATGATCTAATGGCCTTTTTTCATGCCTCATTTTATGGTTCAGGAAGTTATTTAAAGCCTGAGCGAACACTTTGAACTGATGCATTAAATAATTAAGGGCTCAGTGGAAGCTCTTCATGTATAATTCATTTAAAAATTTCCATTTCTGTGGCTGCTTTGCTCCTCAGTTCTTTAGCATTTCTTTTATCTCTCCCTTATTAAATTCTGACTTTATATTGCTTAAATATTTATGTTCATCAGCAAAATGAGAAGAAAGGCTGTGGTTTAGAGGTTTTTGAATGTCAGCTGCTCATCAGGCCACAAGTACTTTAGAGTTTCATTCTATTTAGTTAGTTTTTTTGTCTTAAGAACTTTTTAACATCATGTTTTAATATGAGATCTTTGGTTCAGGATGCAGTTTGATCCATTTTCAAGTATAAAATTCAAACCTTACCAGGAAATTACTTGAATGAGTCCAAGAATTTGTACCAGAACTTCAAAATGAAATGTTGAGTTTCCGAGCTCCTGCTGTTTGGGGAAAATAAAAAATTCAGGGATTTACCAGAGTAAAGAAATCTATGAATCGGTACCTTTTCCTTAACCTGACAAGAGCCAGATGCATGTCTCGCTCGAGACATGCATCTGGCTGTTGTCAGGTTACCTTTTCCTATCCAATTGTCTAAATGTCCATCTGTTCATCCATCCCTCTATGCATTGTGTTTGCTTATATTCCAGCCCAGCAATCTCTCCACCTTTCCTTTTGTCCTTCATCCATCTACCCTCAGTCATCCGTGCATATTGATCTTTTGACCATTCACCCATTCTTCCAGTAATAAAAAAATATATATATATAAATAAAACATGCAGCCTCTCACGTACAGCTGATGCTGTTCTAGTCGGTCTTCTGCATGATGGGAGACTCATTCAAATTAAAACTAATAATGCCAAAGGGATTAAATGTTGCAGTAACTCATTTTTTTCTTTTAAGCAAATGTAGGTGTTGATAGCTGTAGGCAGAAAGCCACCTCAGCCGTCTCCTTCCGGTGTGGAGGAGCAGCGGCTCTACTTGGAGCCTCTCCACGATGACGGAGCTCTTCACCCTATCTCACAGGATGCCCAGCCTCCATGCAGGGAAAGTTCATTTCGGTCGCTTGTGTCGGGGATCTCGTTTCTGTCACGATGACCATAGGTGTGGGCTGACTATCGATAGACAGATCAGTCTCCCCTCACTCATTAATCAGACCCTAAGATTTTTTACCATGGCAACGCTCCAAGGCAGTTCTGCTCTGCAACCTCCGATCATTGGAAAACAAAATGGAAAATCTCTGACTTGAACTCTCTTTAAAAAAGGAGATATGTAACTGCTGCACCATCATTCTGACGGGGTCTTTGCTGCATCCAGCAGTACTGTAGGGCGCTGTTGGCCGGGGGGGCTGATGCTGTACCACGCAGATGGGAACAAAGAGCTCTGTGTGAATGGAGGCTCCTCTGAGACTGTTCCCAGGAAATCTTCAGCATCTAGAGGGGAAGCACTGCCCTCTGCAGGTGAAAATGAGGAGAGCACTCTAGATGCTTCCCTGCCAAATGTTGAAACATCCCCAGCCGGCTCCTCCGGCTTCCACACCTCCTCCAGCATCGCCGGTCGCTGCTAAAGCTGCCGATGGCATCACTGCTGCAACACCCTCACAGCATCGTCATCATCGTCCTCTTCCTCCCCTGAGCCAGGAGAAGCGAGCGCTTCAGGAGCTGGAGGCAGTAGTAGCAGCTCAACAACTGCATCTTACCTTATCAAGGCTGCACTTTAAAAAATGAAATTGACTATAGAGCTGTTCTAAACGAAAATTGTTTTTGTTTACACTTGTGTATACAAAATAAATCTAAGTCTAAGATATCTGAACTTGAGGCAGAGCTGTCCCCTAACCTGAAAGGGACAGGCCACATTTTCTTGGTAACGCACCAAGGCATCACACTTGGAGCTGATTCTTATCTCGGCAGGGAAGCGGCCCGGTGCCCGCTGCAGGAGGGCAGGAGAGAGAGCCACTGCTCCTCAAACCAAACCCCTCCGGCCCTCGGCTATTCCCAGGATCCTGTCCATAAAGGTTCTGAACAGGACCGATGACAGAGGGCAGCCCTGCTGGAGTTCAATATAAAGCTGGTAATGAGGAACATTCCCTTTTATATATTATAATCCACTCTGAGCTCAGCTACAAAGAAAGATTTCAACAGAAAAGAAACCAGAAACTTGTGAATAGAGTTTATTTAAAAAAACAGTCCATCTTTTCTGACATCTTGTGTGCTCACATCAGTGACGATAAATCCGTAAACGGGGTGAATTCTCTGTGTAAAACTGGTTTTTTATAAAGGCTTTTAAATATATCGGGCTAATATCAAACTATAACGAGGCACTGAAAACAAATCGACCAATCAGTCGGAGTCACACTCGCTCCAATGAAATGTCAAACCGTAATCTGCGCTCTTAACTCTGCGGCTGATTTGGTCGGATAAATAAAACCAACGGCTGCTGATGTGCTTCGAAGCTCTTCTTCGGTTGTGATGTGTCGCAGCAGAAGGCAGACTGGTGGTTTGCCTCAGGAGGAAGAAGAGGAATGGGAGCGTTCACATTGTACAGAGGTGCTTTTATTTTGAAAAGTCAGACTGTGCGCTTGGCAGTCAGGATAGTCTGGTTTTGCTTTCTTTTCTCTCTGTGACGTAGGCGCTGAGTGATGAAAGGAGGTCATGCTGAGGGGGACGGAGTGTCGGGGTCCGGACCGTAGTGGTACGTCGTCTGACAGTGGCTGCTGCTGCCGTGTGGCTGCTGGTGGCTGCGAGGACCCTGGTTCTGGTTCTCCTGCTGGTTTGGGCCGTCGTAGGGCTGCGAAGGCTGAGCTCCTGGGTGGTTATCTGGCGCCGGCCCGATTATCGGCTGGTGGAGTTCGTTAGCACCTGGCAGAGGGGGGAGGGTGTCCAGCTCATCCACCTGTGGATTTGGAGGGTGCATGACCACCAGCTGGTCCTGGGGGATATCGGCTGCAGCTGCGGCCAGGTTGGTGGTGGACTTGGACTTGACGCACTGGAAGTCCACATGGCGGCTCTTTCCTTCCTCCTTCTCCCAGGACATGCGGATGAAGGGGCGTTGGACGTAGTTGTAGATGACCTCTGGGCGACCTCCTGGACGTCGCTTCACCTTCTCCTTATATGTCGGGTAACCTGGGGAGGAATGAAGCAAAGTTAAATCAACTGCAGCTTTTTGATTAATCACAGCAACAGTCCAGAGAAAACGCCGCCATGACTCGTTACGATGCAGATAGATCAGCCAAACCTTTTTGAAGGAGAGAAAATCAATTCTCTTCTTTAAGGTCTTTGCTATCCTGGTTGGTTTATTCTTCTGGATGTTTTCCTGCGAATGTTTCTGTGATCTATGTTATGTTTAAAATGGGATTTCTCAGGGCGTGCTTCGCTGGTTCAGTGGTTAGCGCACACAACACATGTTCAGAGGCCTTAAGGCTGATTTATACTTCCAAACCAGGTCGTCTGTGTGTGTCGCAGTGAACGCAGAGGCGTCCTCGCCCCCAGACACCACTCCAAAATTGTTAGTGACCGCAGACAGGAGGCCTTTGACTGGTCAAATCTCCATCCTTTCTACACTGTGCATTTCCTGTGTGGTTCCTTACCGGCTTGTTTTGTTCGTATGACCGCCATTGCAGAAAACGACTCGTGAAGATGGATCAGCTAGAAGAGCGAGTTGGCTGAGAACGCTGGGACCCTTTTTCAACCTGGATCCCCGCTCTTTTCGCCCTCATGTCCCTCCGTTGTTGCACAAACTTGCCCCCCACTTCCTCGCCGCCTCGGCCGTATCTAGACCCACAGCTAGTTCCTGATTGTCTCTCTTGCGTTGGCGTGGAATAACACGCAGACCACACTTCAATATGTGGCATACATCAAAAATGTCTGAGTCCAGCTCATTGGGACACACTGCTGCAGGAGGATAACCTGTCCTTTAGTCCTCGACGCGGCTGACCCGGGTTCGAATCCGGCCTGTGGTCCTTTGCCACATGTCTCTCCCCCTCTCTCATACCCCCTGTCCTGTCTGCCTACTGGCCAAAAAAAAGCAATTTGTCTTGTTTGGTTCTTTTTATTCTAAGAATTCTAAGAGTTTTTTTTTTGTTTGTTACATTTGTTTAACAAATGTAATATTTAAACAATCAAAGGATTTCAAAATATTTTTCCCTCTTAAAGAGTAAATTACCTTCTATTCCCAGACGGATCTTTTTCAGTCCTCTGTCCTTCAGCACTGATTTAGCGACGTCTCTGTTCTCGATGTATTTGAAGAAGCGATAGAGCTTGGTGCTGTAGATGACTGTTAAAAAATGGAGATAAAAACATTAATCAAGCAGAATTTTGAGATTTGACTGTGATTATCAATGTCAAACACATTAGTGGGGATTGCTGGAAGAGGCTCCGTCTTTGTAAACTATTGTTTTGTGGCTCTATGTCTTTAACAGTGTTACTCATTTTATTTTAGTTTGCAACAAGCCTGGCTAAATGAACAAATGCTACGGAAAATTGAGCTTCCTGTTCCCAAAACCTGCATCTATCTTTTCCCATAGTGTATGACGAATCTGATAGGACTCTAATTCAGTTCAGTTTATTTCCGAATCATCTCATGGTGCTTTCCAGTTCACCAGATCATCCAGTCAGGTTGGTTGAAAGTTTCCTATCTAAAAAAAAACCAGCTGATTGCATCGACTCATTGACTCAAAGGCAATGCCTCACAATAAGCATGCATGTTGCAACAATGGAGAGGAAAAACTTCCTTTTTGTCTGATAAAGAGTACATTTATATACATGCTTAAGCCAGAATGATTTGACATTTTAATATAAAATTCCCTACAACTTTAATCATGTTTCATTAACTGGCAGCTATAGAAATCAGCTTTATAAAGTACATATTAAATAAAAAAAATTTATCTATCTGTTTTCTTTTAAAATTTTGTCAGAAAAAAATGGTAAAACTCACTAAAAGAGATCGAAATCATTAAAACAGCCTTTGATGAAGTGAGTTTGATGTTAAAGGAAGCAGCCGTTCAGAGATAAACATTGTTCTTTCCTTTGGGAAGGACGACGTTGGTCTGCAGATGTGTGACAGTTTTTTTTTTGGACCTGTTCACTTCCTGTTTGGATTAACTGAGTGTGCAGCTGTTCAGAGGATCTCCATCTGAAGTTAAGTTATTTTCTCTGTGATATCTCTGTATCTAAGTAACTCTAACTGACTACTTTAAAACATAGCACCTTCTGCTGCACTTTTCTACTGAGCACTTGTCAGTTTCACACGGTTTTATTTCTGATAGCAAGAAGTAGCTAGCCTAGGCTAGCGCTAGCTTAGCATTGCTATGGCTTCTCTCTCTCCCTCCCTTGACTCTTTTCCAACTCTTCCTTCTTCCTCTCCTCTCTCCTGCTCTCTGTGTCAGATGTTCAGTTATTCCTCTGCCTCCTTTAGTGATAATGGGATGTGTAAAAAGTGTAGTATTTTTGTAGCTTTGGAGGCGAGGGTGTCAGAGTTAGAATCCAGGCTTCAGGCTGTTGAACATCCAGGAGTTAAAGTAGGCCCCCCACGTAGCTGTCCTCCAAAAGTGCCTGAGCAGCCAGGCGATTGGGTAACTGTACGCAGAAAGCGTAGTCGTGGATCTCTGCCCACTGGTCACCACCAACCCGTTCACGTTTCTAACCGGTTTTCCCCACTCAGTGACACACCCACTGAGAAGCCCACTCTGGTGATTGGCAGCTCCATAGTCAGAAACGTGGCATTAGAGACACCAGGGACCATAGTCAAATGTTTGCCGGGGGCCAGAACGGGCGACATCAAATCCTACCTGAAACTACTGGCTAAGGATAAGGTTAAATACAGTAAGATTATTATTCACGCTGGTGGTAATGACACCCGGTTACGCCGATCGGAGGTCACTAAAATTAGTGTTGCTTCGGTGTGTAAGTTTGCCAAAAAAATGTCGGACTCCGTAATTTTCTCTGGTCCCCTCCCTGATCTGACCAGTGATGACATGTTTAGCCACATGTCGTCATTCAACCGCTGGTTGTCTAGGTGGTGCCCTGAAAACAACGTGGGCTACATTAATAATTGGCAATCCTTTTGGGGAAAGCCTGGTCTGATTCGGAGAGACGGCATCCATCCCACTTTGGATGGTGCAGCTCTTCTTTCTAGGAATCTGGCCACATTTATTAGTCCTCCAAAACCCTGACCACCCAGGGTGCAGACCAGGAAGCAGAGTTGTAGTTTAACACACATCTCTGCAGCTTCTCTACTGTTACCCACTCTTTACTCCATCCAGACAGTGTCTTGCCCACGACCAAAATCTAATAAATTAGCAAAGATTCCCAAAGGAGTAAATCATGATAATCTAATTAAAATCAAAATAACTCCAATTGGGGAAAAAGTTAAAACAATTAAATGCGGTCTGTTTAACATAAGATCGCTTTCCTCTAAAAGTCTACTAGTTAATGACTTGATTTGTGATAATCACATTGACTTGTTTTGCCTTACAGAAACCTGGCTGCAGCAAGAGGATTATGTGAGCATAAATGAGGCAACTCCTTCAAGCTATTTAAATTTTCACATCCCCAGAAGTTCTGGGCGAGGAGGAGGAGTAGCAACAATCTTCCAGTCTGACTTACTGATTACTCCCAAAACAATTAATTCCTACAACTCTTTTGAACATTTAACCCTTAATTTCCCTGATCCAAATTTCAAGGCAAGAAAACCTCTTCTTTTTGTAACTTTGTATCGTCCACCAGGTCCTTACTCTGAATTTTTTGATGAGTTTTCAGAGTTCCTTTCTGATTTGGTATTAAATACTGACAGGGTCATCATAGTGGGAGATTTTAACATCCATGCTGACATTGAAGGCGATAGCTTAAGAGCAGCCTTTAATGCTATCTTAGACACTATTGGCTTTGTTCAAAATGTGAATAGTCCCACGCATTCTCATCTTCATACTTTGGATCTTGTGCTGACATACGGCATAGAATGTGAAGAAATAACAGTATTTCCTCACAACCCTGTCCTCTCTGACCACTTTCTAATAACCTTACTTTAACAGAGTTCTCCTCCCCCAAAAGAAGGTTCAATTTTAGTAGATCTTTATCAGATAGTGCAGTTATAAATTTTAAAGAATCGGCTTCACTTTCTCTCTCCTCTGTGTCGCTGAGCAGTGCTGCAGAGTGCAAAAGCTTAGCTTATTCCATTTCACAGGTTGTAGATTTTGTTGATGGGGTTGCTAGTTCTCTGCGTACTGCCTTAGACAACGCAGCTCCTTTGAAAATGAAAACCGTTAAAAATAGAAAGCTTGCTCCTTGGTTTAATGCAGAGCTGCGTACTTTGAAGCAAAATGCTAGGAAACTGGAGAGAAAATATCGCTCCACAGGCCTGCGAGAGTCCTTCCTAGTCTGGAAAAATGGTTTACTGCTGTATAAGAGGACCCTTTGTAAAGCAAGAGCAGCATACTTCTCCTCATTAATAGAGGAGAATAAGAATAATCCTAGATTCCTTTTTAATACAGTTGCCAAACTCACCCAGAGCCATAGCTCTGTTGAACCGTCCATTCCACCTGCTCTTAGCAGCAATGATTTTATGGGATTCTTTATAAATAAGATTGATCTTATTAAAAATAAGATCATAAGCACTCCTCTATCCGCGATTGTACCTGAGGTAGTCATGGAATCTGAACCGGGTTTAGACTGCTTTGATCCAGTTGAACTCTCTGAATTAGCAAAATTATTGTCTTCATCTAAGCCTTCAACTTGTATGTTAGATCCAGTTCCAACCAGGTTATTTAAGGAGGTATTCCCTTTGATCTCCTCCTCCATTTTAGATGTGATTAATCTATCTCTGTTACAGGGATATGTACCTAAAGCTTTTAAGATTGCTGTAATTAAACCTCTGCTTAAGAAACCGTCTCTTGACCCAGATGACTTGGTCAATTATAGACCTATATCCAATTTTTCCTTCTTATCCAAAATTCTTGAGAAAGTAGTTGCCAAACAAGTTTGCGATCACTTCCACCATAATGAACTTTTTGAAGAGTTTCAGTCTGGCTTTAGAGCTCATCATAGCACTGAAACAGCTCTGGTGAAAGTCACTAATGATATTCTCATGGCCTCAGATAATGGACTTGTATCTGTGCTCGTCCTGTTGGATCTTAGTGCTGCATTTGATACAGTTGACCATAATATTCTTTTAGAAAGACTTGAATATTTTGTTGGAATTAAAGGAACAGCACTAGGCTGGTTTAAATCTTATCTATCTGATCGAATTCAGTTTGTTCATGTTAATGATAGATCTTCAACACGCTCAAAGGTTACCTGTGGAGTACCACAGGGATCAGTGCTAGGACCTATTCTCTTTACTTTATACATGCTCCCAATTGGTAGAATTATTAGACAGCATGGGATTAATTTCCACTGTTATGCTGATGATACCCAGCTATATCTGTCTATAATCCAGATGAAGCTAACCCATTACATAGATTACAGGCATGTCTGAAGACATAAAAACCTGGATGACTCTTAACTTTCTGCTTCTGAATGCAGACAAAACAGAAGTTATAGTCTTTGGACCAGAGTCTCTGAAAAAGAAACTGATTAGCCAGTCACTTCATTTGGATGGGATTAAACTGATTTCAGATAATAAAGTAAAAAATCTTGGTGTTATTTTTGATCAGGACCTGTCATTTAAATCCCATATCAAAGAGGTTTCTAGAATTTCCTTCTTTCATCTGAGGAACATTGCAAAAATTAGAAATATCCTGTCCAGGGGTGATGCTGAGAAACTAGTCCATGCATTTGTTACTTCAAGGCTGGACTATTGTAATTCTTTACTATCAGGAAGTCCACAAACTGTAGTTAAAAGCCTTCAGCTGATCCAAAATGCTGCAGCCAGAGTTCTAATGAAAATGAAAAAGAGAGATCATATCTCTCCTATCCTGGCTTCTCTTCATTGGCTTCCTGTTAAATCAAGAATAGAATTTAAAATCCTCCTTCTCACATATAAAGCCTTAAATGGCCAAGCTCCATCTTATATCAGAGATCTGATTGTTCCTTATGTTCCTAACAGAGCACTTCGCTCTCAATCTGCAGGTTTACTAGTGGTTCCTAGAATTTCTAAAAGTAGAATGGGAGGCAGATCTTTTAGTTATCAGGCTCCTCTCCTGTGGAACCAACTACCAGTTTTAGTCCGTGAGGCAGACACCCTGTCTACTTTTAAGGCTAGGCTTAAAACTTTCATTTTTGATAAAGCTTATAGTTAGAGTGGCTCAGGTTATCCTGAGCTATCTCTATAGTTATGCTGCTATAGGCTTAGACTTTTGGAGGACATAGGGACCCCCATTTCATCATTCTGCTTCATTCTCTCTCTGTTCTCCTATTCTGCAGAATCTGTTAGTTCAATCTCTAACCTTCTGCTCTCTCTGCTTTTCCTCAGAGTAGCTTTGCCTCGTCTGTTCCTGTTTGGCTGTGACGTCATCCTGAAAAAAACATCAGCTGTGCTGCTTCTATCAACACCCTTGTTAATAGATGTTGGAGATCGGCCTGTTTTCCAGTGTGGTCCTGTTTCTCTGACCGTGACTGAGTGGATGTGCTCTCTTCGTCCTCTGGCATGGGAGCTGCCTTGGAGCTCGTCTGCCTGGCTGTGTGTTTCCTGGACGGGGCCGCCTTTTACAGCTGCTTTTTGTATCTCTGCTTCTGTCTCCTTGAACCCCAGTCGGCCTCGGCAGATGGCCGCTCACACTGAGCCTGGTTCTGCTGGAGGTTTCTTCCTGTTAAAAGGGAGTTTTTCCTCTCCACTGTCGCTACAAGCATGCTTAGTGTGGGGGATTGTATTTGAGTCAATGAGTCAATGCAATCAACTGGTTTTCCTTAGATAGAAAACTTTGTATCAATTTGACTGTATGATCTGGTTGAACTGTAAAGTGCCTTGAGATGACATGTGTTGTGAATTTGGCGCTATAGAAATAAACTGAATTGAATTGAATTGAATTGACAGCTGGAAATGATATTAATGTAGCCGAGTATCTAAACAGCTTCCCGGTATCGCTTTGTATCATTTTCTGATCATGCAATCAAAGCAGGACCTCTCTTGGTAAAACAACATCTTACTTTGTGAGTACTCCTCTCCCATCTGTGGCGGGTACTCCTCGTCCCAGTCCACCACGTCGTCGTCGGTCAGAACCACCACGTGGCATTCCCTCTCGCCGCTCTGGGCGCTGGCGACCATCAGCGGCATCACCATCTCCTCCAGGTAACACTCGAACTGACGCCGTGCTCCGTCGTTGGACAGCTCGTGCATCAGGGCGCCTGAGCAGAAGGGCAGGGGTATGAGACGCTAAATAACACCAAGCTGATCATATTACATCATGTCCTGTGTTTTTTGGGATTACATGTGATAACATATTTTTAATGTAAGTTTTCATTCAATTTGTTAATTTACATAAAATAAAACAGAAATGTCTTCACTGCTATTGTTTTATTGCCTTCCTTTAGGCTTCCTTTAATTTTTTTATTGTTTTGCTGAAGCACTGATGAAAACAAATGCATAATGAACTTAAACATACACACGAAAAAAAAACAATAATTCAACCTCATAAAAATACTGGTGCACCAATACTGATATCAGTAACGGACAGAGCGCCGATACTGCATTAAAATGGTGGTGTCGGTATCAGCGACTACTAACAAATAGGGCACTGATACCATTTCTAGAGCCAAAAGTTTCTTCAACTATTGTCAGCCATTCCAGGTACGCAATAAAAAGTTCTTCTTCTTGTATTCAAATTTTTCCTGCTTCACAAAGGAAGGCAGCAGCTTGACATGAAGCCATGATGGCAATTACATCCAAGAGGTATGCAGTTCTTCATATATACACACACACATCAATTTCTAACAGATGGTATCTTTATCGACCAATAATGCACAGCCAGGTACCGGGTATCGATATCGGGACCAAAATATGGCATCGACGCAACACTAAAAATAGACCAAAAAAAAAAACTATCCAAGTATGCATAAACTGCTGCGTAACACTGAGTGATTGAATAATAAACTACTAATAAACTCTTTTTTTTTTTGCATCAAACTAAACAGAAATTTTTATAATTGAAAACTGCACATTATCAAACATTTATGGAGTTTAAATTAAAACTTAGGGCCCTATAAAATCTGTTATTTTTTCCCAAATTCCGTTTTTTCCGTTTAAATTTTTGAAAATTCAGTTTTTTCCGTTTTACGTATGTATTTTTGCGCTTCCAATCAATGGAATGTCAAAACTTGCAAAAGAATAGTTCACTTGGGAAAGAAGAGGGAATGTGGGGGGAGGGGAAGGAAGGGGGGAAAAAAAAACTGTGTAAAAAGAAAACAAAAAATCGGAGAAGTCATGTAAGCTTTGTACAATGTATGTAAGATCAATATATGTATGATCTCCTGATGAGCAAATAAATGATACACAGTAAAAAAAAAAAAAATAGTTCACCTGACACCAAAAATATGAACATCTTCTAAAACATAAAGGTAGAAAGGAGGACTTAAAAAGTTATTGAGCTTCCTGTTCCCAAAACCTGCGTCTATCTTTTCTCATGGTGTTTGTTGAATCTGATAGGACTCTAATTCAGTTCAGTTTATTTCTATAGCGCCAATTCACAACACGTGTCATCTCCAGGCGCTTTCCAGTTCACCAGATCATCCAGTCAGATTGATTCAGAGTTTTCTATCTAAGGAAAACCAGTTGATTGCATCGACTCTTTGACTCATTGACTCTTCAGCAATCCCTCACACTAAGCATGCTTGTAGCGACAGTGGAGAGGAAAAACTCCCTTTTAACAGGAAGAAACCTCCAGCAGAACCAGGCTCAGTGTGAGCGGCCATCTGCTGAGGCCCACTGGGGTTCAAGGAGACAGAAGCAGAGATACAGAAAGAAACAGTGATACAAAAGGCAACTGTAAAAGGCGGCCCCGTCCAGGAAACACACAGCATATTGTGCATTCAACTGTTTGACCATAAAGAAGCAGAGGTTTAGTGGCTGTTTATGGAGCTCGACATAATGTCCCTTGAGCTCATATTAAACACTGTCTGATATTTAATTATTTAGCTACTGGAACCTTCTGGAAGAACTGCAGTTTTGACCTTAATCTGCATAGATGTGACTGTTATCAGCTGTTTTTTTTATTCCTGTATCAATGCATGCATGCAGTCATGGACTCATTAATGCATTCACCAGCCATGTTTTTAGATCATGTGAAGTGTGTGCATTCGCGCTCTTTTGTTAACATTCTAATTGTAGTTTTTCTGTTTAAATTAAGACTTGTGTAACATTAGCTATTATTGTGTGATTTTTGCCATGCACATGGAGGAAGAAAAAGCAACACTGTCCTAAAGAAATCGGGCCTCTAATACCAGCAGCACATATCAGGGATCAGTCAAACCAGGAACTTCCAAACTTTTCATACTGCAACAATAAGTGGGAACGCTTATGCATTCCCACTTATTGTTTTTCTGTTTCTCTTTATTATTGTGTGAATGCTGTAGGCATTCACACTATTGAGATCCTGTTTCTCTTTATTCTTTATTATTTTTATTCTTCCGACCATTTTTTTGTCACGCTACTACTTCTGCATACTTTATGCTATTTCAACCATTCAAATTTCACAATATTCAGCTCATTTAGGACATGTGCGCTATGTCTTTTTGTATTTCTACCTCTTTTGCTTTTTAAATTATTCAGCTTTTTCTGCAATTTTTTGCCTCATTGAAATGAATGGCATTTTGCTAAAATTCTGCTAAATCTTCTGCTATTTTGCTCTTTAACTACTTCTGCATACTTTCAGCTAGAAACACCATTCAACTTTTAAAATGTTTCCGCATCTTTCTGCTATTACAGTTTAACTCAGCTTTTTGCTAACTTTTACAGTTTTGCTTCAGTGAAGCTTCAAACTTTTAAACAATTTTTAAAGATTTTCAAATTTATAATGGAAGTCTATGGACGGAATGTTCAGCTGCTAGAGTGTGCCACTCTAGCGTTTTGAAACATTTCACTCATGCCGAACAGCTTCAACTCACTCGCTCATCTTTTACTCTATCTAGATAAATTTTACATCAAAACGTAGGGATTTTTGTCAGGATTCAGGAAATGTAAAATGGTAAATGGCATGTACTTATATAGCGCCTTTATTCAAGTTAGGAGACTTGACCAAAGCGCTTTACACTACATTCATTCACCCATTCACACACACACTCACACACTGATGGTGGCAAGCTACATTGTAGCCACAGCTGCCCTGGGGCTCACTGACAGAAGCGAGGCTGCCGTACACTGGCGCCACCCTCTGACCACCATCAGTAGACAATGCAGGTGAAGTGTCTTGCCCAAGGACACAACGACAATGAAAGTCGGAGTCGGGGCTTGAACCGTCAACCCTTCGATTACAGGGCAAACTCCTCCATCCAACGCCACTGTCGCCCATGTAACCCTCATTTGTGTGGCATTTACGGTTTTCCGACAGTTTGGCCCAGACCACGAAGAAGTCCACACTTCTCCAATAGAAATCCAATGAGAGCTCTCTGAAAATCCGAAGTGAAAATTCAAAAAAACAGACTTTTTCGTATCGCTCCCATTTGGGAACCGTTCGACGTAGCAACATGAGCCTTGGTGAAGTTGTTCCTCAGACCTTCCTAGCACTCACATTGAAGGAAGTGTGTCGATATCTTTTATCGTTTAGCTAGGAAAAAGGTTTGTTCGGGGGTAACAAATCTGTCCGAACCCCAAAATCAGGATTTTGACAATTATACACTTTTTTACATCGTCACCACGCCTAGACGAAATATTGTAGAAATATGAAAGTCACCCCAGTTGTAGTCCAAAGATGGCTGACGCTCACGGTGAAAGAATTTTTTGAATACCTAATACGGTTTTGGCTCACCGCTCGTTTGTTCGGAGGGAAAGTTTTGCTTTTGAGAGTTCTGCTCTACCATTGTGCTGCATGTTAATCAATGAGACCAGCAGGATTTCTCAAACCTTTTTATTCCTCCTTCCCATTAAGGTTGTGAATGAGCTACATCCATGAAAGTTACCCCAATTGGAGACAAAGGATAGCTCTCGCTTAGACTGAAAGAATTTTTTAGATACCATTTACGGTTTGTCTTCAGCACTCGTTTGTTCGGAGCTGATAATCCCATTCAAAAAAGCCTGAGAACTAAGGAACGAAAGTGATGCGCATGTCTCTCTGTCACTGACAGGCTCGTTAACGTCGTCAAGGTAACCGTGCTTCAAAGGATTTTACCTCCACCACTTTAAACAGCACATTTTAATCTAATGGAGGGAGACAACACTGATTTAACATTAGGAAGTGGATACAATATGACTACTGGCCATGACCCTTCCCTTCACACGCAACCCTGATAGACTTTCAAAATAAGACTCCGGGGACCCTTCAAAATAAAAGCCCCTACATTAAACTCATATTTTTTTCCCAGCATATGGCTCAACATTATGATCCGAACTCAACCACTTTTTTAAAATTAGACTCTAGGGGGGTTTTCAAAACACACCCCACAGCAAATTTCAAAATAAAAGCCTCCCATTGCCACTTCATCTACTGCCCTAATAACAGGGGAAAGAGTGATTTAAGGATTTGAAAGTCATCAAATATCACTGCTGGGTCTGACCACTTTACTCAACACACAACCATGCTAGACTTTCAAAATAAGACTCCAGTGACCCTACAAAATAAAAGCCTCTATATTATACTTGTGTATTAATTGATGCAAATGGCTCAGCATTATGACCCAAACTCTACCAGCTTGTTTCTATTAGACTCTAGGGACCTTTTCAAAACATACCCCAGAGCGAATTTCACAATAAAAGTCTCCCATTTATGCTCTAACACAGCATCTATTCACCCAATAACATGGAAAACAAGTGATTGCATATTTAGAAATGGATTCTATATCACTGCCTGGCATGACCCTTCCCTTGACACACATCCATGATAGACTTTCAAAATAAGACTAAAGGGACTCTACAAAATAAAAGCCTCTTTCTTACATACACTCATTCATTGTGCCATATGGCTTGTAGCTATGACCCAAACTCAACCAATTTCTTCAAATTACACTACCAAGGCCTGTTGACCCCACACCTAAGTGCATATTTCTTAATCAGGTTCTAAGATTTACACTGTAATAAAGCATCTGCTAACCTCGTAACATGCAGCCTAAGCCTGCCAACGGTGCTGTCATCAACACAGTGGCTCATAACATGCAGGTTAGATTTTTTGATAAATTCAGCTCCTTAAATTTTATTAGCTCTCTTTTTATAAGCTTCTCTCTCTGTCCTTCCTGTGCTTCTTATGGTCAGTCTTGTACTTTGGTTTGTGGATTTTCAAGCTTCTAAGGATGACACTGTTTTCTCTATGCTGATCAACTGACACATTTTAATTAATTTCAAATTTTTTTTACAAGTCTTGACATTTCCACATATGATTTCAGACTTTAATACTTATTATACATATTCAACATTTATCTTCCTATCCTTAAGCTACTCATTTTTTTCTTCAACTAGTTAAGATTCAACTTTTTTACTGTTTATGTTACCGTTTTTGCTATTTTATAAAATTTCTGCATATTTTTTCCAATTTTGGCTTGATTCTGCTCTCTTTCTGGAAAGGCATTAAGCTTTTCTGCTTGCTGTTAATTCATAACATGTCTGCCATGTTTCTGCTGTTGGCTTCAGCTACTTTTAAGAAACTAATTAGACATTTTTTGCTATTCCATACCATTTCAGCAGCTTTGACTTTAAATTTCAGCTTGTTTCTGCCATTTAAACCTTACAGCTTACAGTTTAGCGTACAGCATTCACACTGCATTTTCGCAGGAAATGCAACTTTTTCTAGTTATTATTATTATTCCGTAGGTTTTTCTTCGTCTAACTAGTTCAACAGTTTTCAGCCGATTTCAACAAATTTGGTATCAAAACGTTCAGCTTGTTCAGGAGAATTCTGCTATATCTTTTGGTAAAGATATTGTTCGTAGTTTTCGCGATATTCAGCTTTTTCTGCGATTTTTGGCCCCATTGAAATGCATGTAAAACTTCAAAAATTCCACTAAATCTTCAGCTACTTTGCCCTTTAACTACTTCAGCATACTTTCAGCTAGAAACACCATTCAACTTTTAAAATGTTTCCGTATCTTTCTGCTATTACTGTTTAACTCGGCTTTCAGCTAACTTTTACAGTTTTGCTTCAGTGAAGCTTCAAACTTTTAAACAATTTTTAAAGATTTTCAAATTTATAATGGAAGTCTATGGACGGAATGTTCAGCTGCTAGAGTGTGCCACTCTAGCGTTTTCAAACATTTCACTCATGCCGAACAGCTTCAACTCACTCGCTCATTTTTTACTCTATCTAGATAAATTTTACATCAAAACGTAGGGATTTTTGTCAGGATTCAGGAAATGTAACCCTCATCTGTGTGGCATTTACGGTTTTCCGACAGTTTGGCCCAGACCACGAAGAAGTCCACACTTCCCCAATAGAAATCCAATGAGAGCTCTCTGAAAATCCGAACTGAAAATTCAAAAAAACAGACTTTTTCGTATCGCTCCCATTCGGGAACCGTTCGACGTAGCAACATGAGCCTTGGTGAAGTTGTTCCTCAGACCTTCCTAGCACTCACATTGAAGGAAGTGTGTCGATATCTTTTATCGTTTAGCTAGGAAAAAGGTTTGTTCGGGGGTAACAAATCTGTCCGAACCCCAAAATCAAGATTTTGACAATTATACACTTTTTTACATCGTCACCACGCCTAGACGAAATATTGTAGAAATATGAAAGTTACACCAGTTGTAGTCCAAAGATGGCTGACGCTCACGGTGAAAGAATTTTTTGAATACCTAATACGGTTTTGGCTCACCGCTCGTTTGTTCGGAGGGAAAGTTTTGCTTTTGAGAGTTCTGCTCTACCATTGTGCTGCATGTTATTCAATGAGACCAGCAGGATTTCTCAAACCTTTATATTTCTCCTTCCCATTAAGGTTGTGAATGAGCTACATCCATGAAAGTTACCCCAATTGGAGACAAAGGATAGCTCTCGCTTAGACTGAAAGAATTTTTTAGATACCATTTACGGTTTGTCTTCAGCACTCGTTTGTTCGGAGCTGATAATCCCATTCAAAAAAGCCTGAGAACTAAGGAACGAAAGTGATGCGCATGTCTCTCTGTCACTGACAGGCTCGTTAACGTCGTCAAGGTAACCGTGCTTCAAAGAGATTTTACCTCCACCACTTTAAACAGCACATTTTAATCTAATGGAGGGAGACAACACTGATTTAACATTAGGAAGTGGATACAATATCAATTATTATTATCAATAATAATTATCAATTATCATATTATGTATGGTTTGGCTGTGCAGCTTTTAAGATGAGTTTCTTTCTGCCATTTTAGTGCCAAATAATTCTACCCTACAAAAATCTTCAGATGATTCAATTGTTTTCTGCAGTTTGAAGTTTCTGATGACTTCCTATCACATTTTCATATGTTCTTAAGTTAATTTCAGCTTTATTCATTCAGCAAAAGCATTCCCACTTGCTGTTTCTCCGAAACAGCTTTTTCTAGTTTTTCTTTGTTTTCTAGTTTTATTGGTTTAATTCCTATTTTGTGGTGTTTTCTGGATATATTTGAGTTCTTAGATATTTCTTGATTGCCCTCTGTTGCCCTCTTGTGTTGGGCTCCTTTCTACACCCCTCTGTTCGCACCTGCTTCCAATCAGCTCATTAGTCCTGTCTTTGTTCTGTCTCCCAGATAAGGGCTCTGTTCGAATTCATGGGCTGCGTCTTCCAAGGACGCGCTCTACCTGGACTGGATCCTTTGAAGTCCTTCAAAATAAGACGACCGGAAGAGTTTTGGCTGTGAATTCAAAAAGGGCTAGCCTTCGTTGGCTTTTACCGCCGTACACTCTGTCGCTTAGCAACAGTGATAGTTGACACACAAACCAGAAAAACAATGAATACCGAAACAGTTATTTATACATATAAAGCACTTTCAATGATCTAAAAATTACTTTATTTCCAAATAACATTATTTAGTATCATTTTAAATGTATTTTGAATTAAACATTTAAAATATCTAATTGTGCATTTTACAATTTAATTGTATAATCATTGAAAAAAATAAGAAAATAAATATTAGAATGATCATTACATTTTTAAATTACATATCTTGTTGGTCATTCCCATTTCTGTATTTTATGATATATTTTGCTCAATCACTTTGCAGTGATGTCTCAAAACCAAAAGTTTTCTAACAATAACTCAATACTCAGATGAGCATCTAATGTCAATGAAACCCAGTATAACCACAGCGTAAAACAAGAAGTCATGACAGGACCCTTTTGGGGATAAATCAAATCTGCAGCTTGGTCTGTTTTTTACCCACATAACCAGCAGTAAATCTCACAGCTAATCATGACCTACTTAGAGGCGCGGAAACAGCAGCAGAGAGCAGAAGCTCCTCCTCCTGCATACTCGAACAAAAAACAAGGGGCACCGACTCATTAAAAACATCCCACTGTCAGCTCCGTGCAGCTGCATCAAATGTGCACAAAGGCAGGCAGCATTTAAGCAAAAATGTTTCTCCTTTACATATGGAGGATCTTTATCAAGGCTGGTGATGCAAAAGGTTTTAAAACTCTGAGAAGAATTGGCTTCACTGGCCAGGTTTGTAAACACAAACAAGGAACAAACTTGGTTAATTCAAATATTTAAATATAAAACTTGCGTTAAATTCTTCTAAATTGTGAGTCTGACACTAATCTGTGATAAAGTTATGAAATTTTATTTTGAACCACGACCGCAAAAAGCAGAGACTCACCTAATTGCACACGAACAGAAACGGGAAGCACATCACTCCGCGGCTTCACACATTGGAAGAACTGAAAGAGCAGGTTGAGGAGTTGGTGTACTCACTGAGATCTCTGCACTTGATGGTGCTGTAGTTGAAGGAGATGCAGAGGTAGTCACATGCCTCTCTCAGCTCGGGAATGGAAACGCCGTCAGGGCAGCGGATTATCCCCGACTTGTAGTAATCCTGCCATTTTCACCAGTGCAAGCACGCGCACAGACATAACAGCACGCAGTGAGGAGGACAGTCAGGCGCGCACACGAGCAGAGGAGGGAAAACAAACCGCCATTATTAATGCTTCCTCACAGAGAGAGGAGGAGGAGGACATAAGAGGGAGGGATGGAGAGCAACTGATAAAAAAAAAAAGCGACGTCACAGAGAGAGAGAGAGAGAAAGGAGAGGACACATGAAGCTGCTGACGTCACTGTCCCTTCCTGCTCTCACAGCGACAGTTTCCCAGGAGTTTCTACTGATGGAAACCAGAGGAGACTCCTCGGTCATAAAGGACACAAACCTTTGGCTCCACCCACTTCCTGTTCTGCCTCACTCGCTATCCTCCCTCAGTATTTTCCTTTCATCTCTACTGTTGAAGGCTGATTTTTCTAAACATTGTTTTTTTAAAACACATATTTTCCCTTTCAGGCTGAAAATAATACGAAATGAACCTTTTAAGTGTCAGTTCAGTTTGAATTATCTAGATTATGTTTGCTAAAAAAATAGAAATTATGAGCAAATTTTCTTATTACTTTTGCCAAAGTCTTAAGTTTAGAAATACTAAAAATCAGTCTTCAAAAGTCCCGCTGATGATGTGTTGGGTTTGTAAGCTTCATTCATTTTCAGATAACCTGTTTACCAACATGAAGTAAGCTAAAATAACTCAGAGCTACTAACCTTCCCCTAAAGAAACCACATGATAAATGAGAAAGAATGGAAATCGATACACATCATAGAGGTAATTGATTGTTTGTTTTTTTTTAGCTAAAATCTGATATGTTTAAGCTCAAATGGACGACCCTATGATCTTTTTCTCCACAATTATTGTGTATTTTTTCCCTCCTGTTCCGTGCATTTATTGTAAATTACGGTTTAGCTATCTGTCTCTAAAACTTTAAAAATGTCTATCTAACCAGCATTTTTTGCTTCAGCGTGTCTCCTGTGTCAGAGGCATGAATCAGGTGGGTAACCTATAGGCGCTGCACACGAGTGTGACAAAGTGTGTTCACCACTTGTCCCTTAGTCTTTATTCTGATTAGTAATGCTTACATTTAAACATTAGTTTGCAACTTTGCTTCACTTACTATCCCGGGTTTGTTTGTGTTAGCATTATGTTGCAGTTTCCATCTATATGTTTGGGTTGAAGCTATTATATCTAGATTATTGGTTGATATTGTGTATTTTGTTTCAAAGTATATTTATGGTATTTGTTTTCCTTTTTACTCACCATTGTTTGTCCAAGTATTCCCTGCTAAATTAGCTAGATGATGTCATTGATTACCTTGCAGGGTTCTACCATTTAGAGGATTTCTTTGGAGTAATGCTTTGTTTGTTTTTCTGTAACTTTCTGAGTTATCTTGTATCACATTGTTTATGTTGCAGACTCTTTCATTATGTAGATTAGTTTGTAAATTAAGATTCATAATTTCATTCTTGTTTCTCTGTTTAGATGTTGTTGTTTTTTTTCTACCTGTTTACGGTCGGCTGGTCCACTCAAGTGCAGGTATGTTGCCAATAGGTTATATAAGCGCAGAGGTCTTGGAAGCTCAGGAATGGTTGTCAGAATGAAAAGTATTGAATGTAAGACAACAGAGAAATCTGGAACGGTGGCTGAAGCTGTTTTTTTTTTGTTCACCTTCCTCATCCTCGACCAAATGTCGGTGGAAGGCTTGATGTCCAATATTTAGATTTCAAGCAAATATTGGCTAGGTTTTACATATAATTTTGTGCATTCCAACTGTAGTACTTTAGCAGAAAACAGTCGGAACAAATGGAGAAAACATAGTACAGGGATGTTGCCTAGCAACAGCTAGCTAAGCAAAGAACTCCAGGGCAGCGTTGGTATCTCCTATAGATCACAAGAGACTTGAGAACAACATCTAAGTACTGCAGGCCTCAATTCACTGTTTATTATTAGGACAAAATGAGGGATGCACGACATTATTATTGATATCAATGCCAATATTCATATTAGGAATATCAGTATCGGCCAGAAAAGTAAAACTGGGCTGATATTTATGTCTGCGTAGTTGCAGTTTTATTTCAGGAGGGAGTGGGGGTCAGGATTGTTGTTATTTAACTGAAGCAGAGAAGTAATTTAGCATTGTGGTTTTTTTTGGTTTTTTTTGGTAGCCATATAAAAGTCATCATGGCAATATTAAGATTGGATAATGTTAATATCACCCCAGAGTAGCCTGCACCGCACCAAGAGCAAAATACGGAGGTTATCATGTGACCGTCTGAGGCTGTTTTAGTGCTTCTCAGTCTGGGAAGACACCTATGACCTCAGGCTGAAACACACCTGAAATGTGCTGCAGAGCAAGGATCCAAAACACACCAGCAAGTCCTCCTCTGAATGACTGAAGAAAAAAAAAAAAAAGACCTCGGAGTGGCCTAGCCAAAGTTCAGATCTTGCTTAAAAAGCCTCCAATGTGGCTGAATTACATCAACTCTGCAAAGATGGGTTCAAATGAGTTTTCATAGCTGGTACGTTCATTTGTTTTCTTTGAATCAGAAATTATCTGGAACTTGAGCTTTTTTCATTTAAGGATTTATACACACAATTAGAGGCTTTTTTTTTTTTCTCCAAGGCCTTTTACCATGGAACAGCAGTGGACAGCTTTCTGAGATGAAAATGTCTTCAGATGTACGACCAAAAGCTATTAAAAAATAAAAGCTAAAATTGTGGTTCAGATCTTCAACATCTTCAAATACATCTTTAATTCTGATTGTTGTTTTCAACTTTTTGTTATAGACCAAGGAAACTTTCATTTACCGTATTTTCACGACTCTAAGGCGCACATAAACGTCTTTTTTTCCCCTCAAAATGTGCGGTGCGCCCTTTGGTGCGGTGCGCCCTATGTGTGTTGCAACTGCGACTTTTGAGACCACCTCATTGAGGAGATGATGAAAGAGTGGCTGAATGTAAGGAGACCAGGTGTTTTTTTTCCACTCATCACCATCGCTGTTAATATGTGACTCCATGCCTGCCCATCTCACAGCTGATGTGAAAAACATGGGGAAACAAATTAAGCTCTGCTCGCTGTTATTCAACCGCTCGACATCGGTGTGAACCGGACGCAGCAGGCGCAGCAGAAGCAGCGAGTTTACATGCAAAGTCAATGGTTGACACGCGTATAGGCGCAGCAAAAGGTCCCGCAGCGCATTTTGAGCAGCAGGCGCTGCGTCGGGAGCGTTTAAGCATCTGACGCACCACCAACGCGCTGCTGCTGCTTGAGATGGAAAAATTGAAGTTTTGCTGCTGGAAGCGCCGCATCAACCAATCAGAGAAGCTGATCTGGGAGCTGACAGCGAAACAGACACAGCGCTCTGATGACATATGATATTAACGCAAATGAAAAGGGCTGGATGGATGAGGAGATGATGAAAGAGTGGCTGAGGCAGGTGTATGTGAGGAGACCAGGTGGTTTGACGAAAAGTGGAAGGCAGCGCCGGGACGAAAATTGGAAGGCAGCGCCGGGCAAGTTACGCCACCGTTTGCGGATGGATTGTAGATGGACTAACGTGTCTGCTGGCTCTGTTGTTCGAGCTTTCGAAAAAGCCGGCATTATTTCTGAGGAGCCGCGCTGCACGGAAAGTGACTCTGACAGCGAAGAAGGGGAAACTGGCATGTCTGATTTAGCGCAGCTGTTTAATTCAGAAACAGAGGATGATGACTTTGATGGGTTTGATTAATACTTTGTAATAAATACATGAATAAAGCACAATCATACTCAGTTTTGCTCCCGCTCTATTTTTCTACCTGAAAACTTAATTTAACAGCAGCATCTGGGCAGGGTTCACCGGGGTGGCTGGCAGGTGTTTTTCATCTAAATAATCTAAATCTTGCAGCTATATTTGCTGTGATCAGTGGGAATAAAGTAGTTTTAATATGTTTGTAAGTGAGAAAGTCCACCTGAAAACTTAATAATTGCAGTCAGTTCATCCAGATTATCTATTTCTGTCGGAGGCGCTCAGACCCCCACATACCAGCGGTGCACCGACAGCAGAAATCCCTTCAACAGCAGCCTCTGGGCCTGGTCGCCTCCGGGTTCACGCGGCGGCTGGCAGGTGTTTTTCATCTAAATAATTTTAGCTGCAGGCACCAGGATACCGGCAATAAAAGCGAACATATTCCGTCGGCAGGTTTCAGGATTTTAAGTTAATTTAGGAGTGACCACAGCGCTTTGTCATCTGCGACGTGTCTGTCTCACGGCCAGCTCCCAGGTTTGATTAATGCTTTGTAATAAATACATGAATAAAGCACAGTCATACTCAGGTTCTCCCCCGCTGTATTTTTAAATACGCAGTAGAGGTATTTAAAGGTAGTAGAGGACATGTACCTGTATATAAAAAACGCGCCCTATAGTCCGGTGCGCCTTATGTGTGTGTTAAATACAGAAATGGGACACATAACTGAGACTGCGCCTTTTAGTACGGTGCGCCTTATGGTCGTGAAAATACGGTAATTTTCATTTTTCTTTAACCAGGTAAACCCCATTGAGATCTGGATCTCATTTTCAAGGGGGACCTGGGCAGAGATCAGCAATACACTGCAACCTGGTTACAAAAAATAAAACCAATTAATACATATGCACAAATATAAAACAATAAAAACTATTCAAAAGCAGTGACACTGTTTAATAGAAGCTTGTTGCCTATCTTTGAGAACTGCTTGAAATAAGTCCAATGAAATATTGTTTGACATCTTGAGCTCAGATTGGAGCTTATTCCACGCTGTAGGAGCCAGTTTACAGGGTTTATACAGGAATGAGTGACTAATTTAATGCTTTTTAATCCTTTGTCAACTTCACTGTCGACAGGCACCAGCCATGTCTCGAATTCCTGGTTTTCCAGCCACTTTTGTTTAAATTAGCATTTTCCCATTCTCTAGCTTTTTCTCCGCCTCAAGCTTTCTTTCCAAACATTCGGCTTTACGATCAACGGGAAGCAGTTCCGCGCAAAAATGCGGAATCAGTTCTATCTTATATATCTGACAAAATTGTTTTTATAAACGTTTTTTTTTTTTTATAAAGATTTTAAATGCCATGACAATCAAATTTAATGAATTTTAATGCCAATTAAGGCCTTAATTTAAAAAATAATAATTTAATGACTTAATGATTTTTAATGGCCAACTCATCAACCTGACGTTCAAATGTGTTTAAAATTTGACAATTCTGTAAACAGAATATTCAACAAGAAGAAGTAGAAAAAAAGAAACAAATGAGAAAGGATATAAATCTTTAAAGGAGAATTCCGGTTTTTTACACTTTAAGCCCATTTTCTGTAGTGTCCAGGATGAAATCGAATGATCGACACCAAAAGTTTGACAATTGGTCCTGTCTCTGCTTTTTGGCTCATTTAGAATCCCCCCCTGGCTGCTTCAGAATGGCTTCCATTGTGCATGTCCGATAATGTCCTTAAAACAACCTTAAACGTTCTTTTTTTAATATGCTACTCACCGTGTCGTCAGCGCTGTTCAATGACGTTCCAAAAAAAGTTTCCTGAAGAAAAAACGTTCCTGTAGTGTTTTATTTAGCATTTTGTAAATCCCATTGAGTTCTGTTGGAATAGTCAATATTCCGCTGCCACCGGAAACGGAAATGGAGCCTGTTTACACAGTTGTAGTCTTTTCGCTTCACTCTGTGTACTCCGACGTCGAGAATCAAGAATCCACCTTTCGTATTCCATTTTCAGAGTTTTTTAAAGTGTTTAACAGAGACGTTAGCACCTCGACGTCGGAGTACACAGAGTGAAGCGAAAAGACTACAACTGTGTAAACAGGCCCCATTTCCGTTTCCGGTGGCAGGGGAATATTGACTATTCCAACAGAACTCAATGGGATTTACAAAATGCTAAATAAAACACTACAGGAAAGTTTTTTCTTTACGAAACTTTTTTTGGAACGTCATTGAACAGCGCTGACGACACGGTGAGTAGCATATTTAAAAAAAAGAACGTTTAAGGTTGTTTTAAGGACATTATCGGACATGCACAATGGAAGCCATTCTGAAGCAGCCAGGGGGGGATTCTGCATGAGCCAAAAAGCAGAGACAGGAGCAATTGTCAAACTTTTGGTGTCGATCATTCGATTTCATCCTGAACACTACAGAAAATGGGCTTAAAGTGTAAAAAACCGGAATTCTCCTTTAAAAAAAATACTTTTTTTACTGCATACAGTCAAACCAAATTGGCTGCTCTTAACATGAAATATATTTTTATACTGACCACTGAGCTGGATAGAAGGCATGGATGGATTTACAGAGATGTAATTTAAGTGAATAAAACATGAGAATCGGGCAGCAGAACAAGTTGGAACTCAATGTTCCCCAAAGGAGAAAAGGGAAAACATTAAGAGTGAAGAAACTTTTAGGAGAACTTGAGAAAGAAAAAATGCTGGGGATGCAGGAAACAGCAGATGACGGGACAGAGAAAGGAGAAGAAACAAGGAGAAAAAAACTGACTAAAAGTAAGACATGAAACAGAAATAATCAAGTAAAAAGAAAAAGAAAGTGAGGACAAGTAGGAGATAAGGGTAAAATAAAAGTGAGGCAGAGAAAGACGGGTGTCCTTGGAATCTCACCATGATGGCTCGGAACACCGTGGAGCTGATGCCATCGGCCACCTCAAACTCTCCTTTCTCGTTGGGCCGAGTGAAATTGTTTTCCCGACAGGAACCAAACATCCTGAAAACACAGACACATAGTTTATAGTCCCACTATGGCTAAATTCACTCTCTATATTTAAACCCATCCTTGGGGAGCAGTGTGGGGTTAAGGGTCTTGCTCAGGAACCCAGAGTGGAGGCAGTGGTGATCGAACCAGGTACCGCACTGCTCTAACCACTCGACCAACACTCCCCCCAAGTGTTAAACAGTATTAGCTTGATTCATAAAACACTGATACTATTCAGATTTGTTAGTTATGACTATTAGGGACAGACCAATCGGATCACAGCTTCACCAAGTTATGCTCATATAAAACCGCAGCCTGTTATTCTCTGCATGAAGTGCAAATTAGTTTGTTTAGTTAGATTTCACTTTTTCCAATGAGAATGTTTTTTGTGATTTTAGAAAATCAGCTAAGTGACTTTATTAGGACAAGTAGAGGTGCATACCCCACGTTAAGGCTGTAATACAGAAGGACAAGCTGGACTACTCGGGGGCCTCCTGTTTAAAATGTATCTAAGCAAAAAATAAATCCTGCAGCTCAACATTTTACGTCAAACTGGGGACCAATAAAGACATGAGCAGCAATCCAGGCAAACTATTTATACACACTAAAAAAAAAAAGAAAAAGAAGCTAAAATTCAATCAAGCTGACCCAATATAAACAGAGACTAGAAGTGCGCTTTTGCACTATGCACTTTTAAAGGTGCATAGTCGCATTATAAGACATTTCAAATTTATACGCCAGTATAACTGCATCTCTTCATACAAAGGTTTTCTCAAAAATGACTGCTGGAGTTTTAGTTGTTATTTTTGTGTTTTAAGCTTTGTTTTTCTCAACTTGTTAAGGGTGTACACTGTGCAATTTTTTCAATCGTTGCACGCAGCAACAGCTCACACTGTATTAATTAAAAGGGCAACGAAATACAAGCTGTGAAAAAGGTTTGTAAAATAATTAGGGGTGGGTATTGCCAAAGAAGTCATGATTCAATTTGAATCACGATTCACATGCCACGATGCGATTCTATCACGATGTATCACGATACTTGAATTATTGCGATGCATTGCAATATTTTTACTAAACACTGTTACAAAAAAATACAGCCATTACCAGTGGCTGACTGAGTATGATCTGGGTAGTGTCTTCCAATTGATAAATAACTGAAAGCAACTGCATTCATACATAGCTGTATTTATTAAAATGACTTTTGGAGGTGTTGCCATGAAAACAAATATTACTGTAACAATATATCAACTTCATTTTTACCTTTGTTTTAAAACCAAAATGCTTCCAAACATCGGATTTGAAATGTGATGGAGCCGGACAAAGTTTCTCAATCTCCTCCATGTTTTGTTTTTGAATGACTCGGCGCAGTATCCCGCGGCCGGAAATGCTTGTGACACAAGGCAGCGTACGTCAACACATCCGCAGCGACATCTACTGGACTGGAAGTTGTATTACACTTGTTTTTGGCTGATGTTCACCAACCATTCATGCAATTTTATTTATAATTTTTTTTTTAATTAATAATCGATACTTGGCGTCAAGAATCGATGCAGTAGATCACGACAATTAGAATCACGATGCATCATCATGACGATTATTTTGCACACCCCTAAAAATAATCATGTATCACAACAATGAAAATTCCTCAATAAATGTTAGCAGCTGGTGGTATCACTCAGTGAGCTAGTTCATCAGTTATGAGCGGACATTAAGAGCAAAAATTATGAGTTGATGTCAGTCTGAGCTACGGAAGCCCAAAGAATGAAAACTAAAAAAATGTAATGAATTAATAAAAATCGATGAGATGTTGTCTAATCCTAGTACCAGTAGCGACTGGCCAATAGAGGGCGCCCACCCACCCAATGACCATGATTAAGACATAAAAAATATATATATTTTTACATAAGGGACCACTACAGCACCACAGGTCGGATGCGAACTTGGGTCGCCTGTGGCGAGAACTAAGGCCTCCATAACTGGGTCGTGTGCGCTAACCACTGCCCTTAAATTAACATTTAAATTTTTTTGAAATACATTATTAGTTGACTAATAAAGCGTCATTCAATTGTTCGTCGGATTGAGGATGTATTTCCGTAGGGTGCAAAACTCTTTGCCCATAGACTCTCGTTAAAAGTTGTCTATGCCCATTCGTTCCTCTGCAATACAAAGGTATGGGAGAGCTCGGGGCGCAACTCCGCTGACAGGTAGTGTATTTGCTCACCCCCTCCCACCACAGCGCAGACATTTTGCGGGTGATCGAGTCGCGGCAGTTGGAGGCGCATTGGAGACAGAGACAGACATGGTGCAAGAACCATCCTTTTCTAGGACCTGGTTTAGCAAGAAGGTTTGGCAAACTGCATTAACAAGGCTAATGCTTTATTAAGGCTCTTAAAGGATAATCTCTACATTATCAGGACGGATGCTTGGTGTATATAACCGTATTTTCTCAAAATCAAATGGATTTTGCTCCCATTTGTATAGGCAGACAATGGCTGTTTCCCAATATGTGTACTTGTGCGTTCTCATGTCCTCGTGAAACGTCAGCAGCCTCAGCACTAGTACTGTTCCAATTCACAAGAACAGCAGACCGAGAACGGAAGTCCCTAGATGTTGTTCTCGCCCCTCCCTATTTACCCAGCATGCATCAGAGCAGACTTGTCCGTTCTTGAGATTGACAGCTGTCCCAGCATGCACTGTGGCAGCAGCAGCTCAGAATGGAGCGCACACAGAGCATTAAGTTAAAAGTTCTCCTTACTGATGCTGTGGTTCAATAAAAGTTCGTTTTAAGATCATTTGAGGCAAGAATATTATACACTCACCGGCCACTTTATTAGGTACCCCATGCTAGTAACGGGTTGGACCCCCTTTTGCTTTCAGAACTGCCTCAATTCTTGGTGGCATAGATTCAACAAGGTGCTGGAAGCATTCCTCAGGGAGTTTGGTCCATATTGACATGATGGCATCACACAGTTGCCGCAGATTTGTCGGCTGCACATCCATGATGCGAATCTCCCGTTCCACCACATCCCAAAGATGCTCTATTGGATTGAGATCTGGTGACTGTGGAGGCCATTTTAGTACAGTGTCATGTTCAAGAAACCAGTCTGAGATGATTCCAGCTTTATGACATGGCGCATTATCCTGCTGAAAGTAGCCATCAGAAGTTGGGTACATTGTGGTCATAAAGGGATGGACATGGTCAGCAACAATACTCAGGTAGGCTGTGGCGTTGCAACGATGCTCAATTGGTACCAAGGGGCCCAAAGAGTGCCAAGAAAATATTCCCCACACCATGACACCACCACCACCAGCCTGAACCGTTGATACAAGGCAGGATGGATCCATGCTTTCATGTTGTAGACGCCAAATTCTGACCCTACCATCCGAATGTCGCAGCAGAAATCGAGACTCATCAGACCAGGCAACGTTTTTCCAATCTTCTATTGTCCAATTTCCATGAACTTGTGCAAATTGTAGCCTCAGTTTCCTGTTCTTAGCTGAAAGGAGTGGCACCCGGTGTGGTCTTCTGCTGCTGTAGCCCATCTGCCTCAAAGTTCGACGTACTGTGCTTTCAGAGATGCTCTTCTGCCCACCTTGGTTGTAACGGGTGGTTATTTGAGTCACTGTTGCCCTTCTATCAGCTCGAACCAGTCTGGCCATTCTCCTCTGACCTCTGGCATCAACAAGGCATTTCCGCCCACAGAACTGCCGCTCACTGGATGTTTTTTCTTTTTCTGACCATTCTCTGTAAACCCTAGAGATGGTTGTGCTTGAAAATCCCAGTAGATCAGCAGTTTCTGAAATACTCAGACCAGCCCTTCTGGCACCAACAATCATGCCCAGTTCAAAGTCACTCAAATCACCTTTCTTCCCCATACTGATGCTCGGTTTGAACTGCAGGAGATTGTCTTGACCATGTCTACATGCCTAAATGCACTGAGTTGCCGCCATGTGATTAGCTGCTTAGAAATTAAGTGTTAACGAGCAGTTGGACAGGTGTACCTAATAAAGTGGCCGGTGAGTGTTCTTTAAAGCCTCACTATATGGTCCATTTACCGATTTAATGCGTAATTTTAAAAAACATTTCCGAAGTTGAGAGGACCATGGCAACCAGCGGACCTCCGAGGCTAACGGCAGCCAGTAACATGTGACCATTAGGTATTTTTCATTCCTGTTTTTCCTTGTGATGGTATTAGCCAATCCGAGCATTAATTTGTTTTTAAACTGAGATTTCTGTAACATTTGTTATCATGGAATTATCAAAATGGGCCTTAAAAAAGCTGTATTGGTCGATCTCTTGTCATTAGTTTCAGGCTGACATTGATTATTCGTATTAACTATAAGACTGGACACAGACACAGCTATTGTTAAATGACTCACATTTTTGCAGATCAAAGCTGGAATTGCGCAATTAAAAACTCTGGAGTCAGAATGATAAGGATTTGTCAGCAGCATGAAATATTTCAGTGTTTCAGAGTTTTAGACTTCGATAAGCTTGATTTTAGGGCTGGGCGATTAATCAATTTTATTGATTAATCGGATTTCCCGTTTATGAAGATTACATTTTTAGAAAAATCGGTATTTTAATCTTTATACAATCTTTGCTGACACAATAAAGTGTTAAAGTCCATTTAACCTAATCTTATAATCAAAAAAAAAAAACAGATCTCCATCACTGAGCATTAAAATTAACTCATCTTTTCATTTAATGCTCAATGAAAAACCAGTCAATAAAGTCCTTTAATGACAGATGTGTGTATTTCCTGCTTCAGTTTTTAGGTGCAGCTCTGCGTTTTCAAACAGACTAGTTCTTGTAGCTTTTTACCTGCCCAGCATGGTGTTGGGTTGAGCTGTAAAGATGGCAGGATCCACCACGAATCTGGTGTTGTCCACGATGAGCGTGACTCTCTCTCCTGGTCGCAGACCACTGCGGTGCTCTTTGCTACCGATGTCGTACACATAGATCATGTCGCAGGGCCCTTGGCCTAAGATTTTGGAGTGGTGGTTTACCCCGGGGGGCCCCAGAGGTCGCGGTATCTGCCCACCAATCAGACCTATATGTGAATACGAATGAGAAACTCTCGGAGGACGTGGGCTGGACGATCTGGATGAGGAGCCTCCTTCACTGCGCTCGCGATCTGCAGAAGTTAAAGTGATAATGATAGGAGAAATCAGTTTTGATGAAATATTTCAGGATGTTTCAGTTTCATTTGAATGTCATTATTACCGTGCTGTCGCGTCGGAGAGGTGATGTTCCTGATGCATGGCGTGAGCTGGCTCTCCCCTCTCTCATGCGATGAGTCCCGAGAGCGATCGCTGGAGCGGCGACGCTGTTCCCTAAAATGCTCTCCTCCTCCTCCTCTTTCTCTGCTCCCACCATTGGCCCCACCATTGGCCCCACCGTTAGCCCCGGCCCCACACAGACTCATGTTTCTGACAGGATGGCACTGCGACCGGCGGGGGTAGTCCGACCCGGACACACCACGCTGCTCACTTGTGGAGAGAAAGAACAGAGACACAGTAAATCCCTATGATGATAAACATCTTTTAGATCAGCAGACTGGGATTAAAATGAGGTTAACACTTTTTAGACTAATCAATCATTGTTATGATCCCATTTTGATAAAGAGATTAAAAACAGCCATTATAAGCACCACAGAGACTAAAGGAGGGATAAAGGTAAGGACACAAGGAATAAAGAACGGCAGAAGGAAAGGAATGAAGGGATGGGGAAAGTAAACAGACATGATAAAGGAGGAAAGGAGGCAGGAGACAATAAAGGAGAAGATCACCAAGAAGATGGGATATTGTTTATGACTGAATACTTTTTAAAGTCGTAGGGAAGCAACTGTTCCAACTGTTGCATCACCGAATTCTCCCGAGTGGTGCCCGACTTTACACGAGTGAATAAAGTGAATTCGATTGGTCGACTATCAGGCTAGCATCATTAATTAAATACCCACACTGTGGTTCTAAATCTCAAGGAAACTTTAAAGACCCTTTAAATATTTCAGGAGCCTGACTGAGCTCAGGCTTTCTCAGGAGAATTGGACTGAAAATATTGTCCCTATTTGACTTTAGACTGTTTATAGAATTTATTGCTGACGGTTCTTAACTGCAGAAAAATGAATCACAGTAAGATCATGGCCAGCACGGAAGAACAATTAAAAAATCAGCTCATCTGTGCATAAGAGTCCTTATTTAGCATAAAACTGATATTGTGGTCAGAGAAATGTCTGACTTTTAAATCACTGTGTCTAAGCCCACAATGCAGTGTTATGAGAAAGAGCCGACCCTGCATTTACAGCATGGTAATCGGGGAGTTAGAAAAGGCAGAAATCTGCAGGAGTCGTCCATGTTGAGCTTTGACCTTATAGCGGAAGGACAGAACTAGGGCTGCAACAACGAATCGATAAAATCGATAAAAATCGACTTTTAAAAGCGTTGGCAACGAATTTCATCATCGATTAGTTGTGTCGCGCGATTAATGCGTCATCCGCCGCCGCCGGGGAAGAAAAAAAAATATGGCGGAGCGAGTCAGCGCCGCAGTTGCAGTGTTGCCAACTCAGCGACTTTTCAGACCCCTCCAGCGACTATTTTTCAAAAAAGCGACTAGCGACAAATCTGGCGACTTTTTACGGCGTCACTGGCGGCTTTTGCCTGCCGTGGGGCGCCTCCCCCATCCCAACGCCTTTCTCCCTCTCCCACAGGAATCCCTCTCAGCGCGGCAGTCAGAGCCGCAGGATTTTAGTGAGGAGTTTACCCTCAGCGTCCAGACTGCAAATGAAGCGCGCATGCGCCGGGATTGACGGCGCAAATTGATCACAATAATTAAAATAGCCTGCGCTTTGTAAAGTGAAAAAAGTGATAACATGCAACTTTTTTCAAAAGAAATGAACATGGCACGGAAGCACCACTGTTATGACGCAGCACCTGAAAAGAAAACACGTTGGAGCCTTCAATGGCAGTGAAGAGAGCTGATCAGCAGGATGAGTAACCATGTTTGTTTGGTTTTAAAGTGGGGAAACGTAACGTTAGTTTCTCAGGTAGCTCATCTGATGCTTTCCTTACCTTGTTAGTAGGTTACAGACAGTGATAAGGTTGGCTACTTATTTTACTTTTAATTTCATTTACATTTGTTTAAGCAGCGTTTATATTTTCTTTATAAATAAATTAACTTGCAAATTATGAGGGCAAGGCTTTTAAAGTTTAAATCTTCTGGCAAAGATAAAGAAAAGAAGATCCTGCAATTTATGGAAGTAAAGCAGAACAAAATCCAGCAAGATCAGTAATATGTCAATTAATTATCTGCCACATTTCCATGTAAATATCTGTCTTTGGAGGATGTGTTTTTTAGCACCCCTAGTTCTCTCATTTTTATTCCAAATACAATTTATAATTTGAATCACAGGGCTATTTTTATCTCTATGGTTCAGTATTTTCTCAAGCAGCAACTTTAACTGCTATACTTTCCTGTCTTAAAAGGCAGAACTCTTCTAGTCTAAAAAAAACTCATTTCTTGAAATGGGGGGGCCTATTGTTGAACCCCTTAGGGGCTTTAAAAAACAAAAATGCCTGTCTCTTTTTGCGCTTTATGAAACAAAGTAGACTATATTTTGTGGATGTACAGCTACATTTCTCATGTAAGTTTGCGTAGTTTTTACACAAACATTTATTTTTCATATTGCACCAGGACAGTTAATGAGCAACCTGTACTTGTGTGCTTGTTTGTTCTGTCTAAAATGTTTATTTTGGAATAAAGAGGTTAATATAAAATTTTTTTTTTTGTCCGATTCATCGATTAATCGAAAAAATAATCGGCCGATTCATCGATTTTTAAAATAATCGTTAGTTGCAGCCCTAGACAGAACTTTAGAGAAACTATTTTTACTTTTAACACCAGATAAACTGTCTTTTCTTATCCATCAATCTTCTTCTCATCTATGTTGAATAGATAACGTTCATCTCTATATCAATTTAAAAATGTTTTGCAGCATTAAAAAAACAAAACATTACTGTAAAGAAAAGTCCATAAGAGAAAGAAAAACAAGCTCAAATGGACAGAAATTCCTCCCATCATGGAGGCTGAAAACATCAATTTGTTAAATGCCTTCACCAAAATAGTCAATATGAGCACAGCTAACTATTGATTTTCCGCAGGATCCATTGAATGACTAAACAATGCGGCTCCAATTTAACACAGCATGTCAACAAATTTTGTGCCGTTTCTCTTTAATAAAATCATAGTTTTTATATCTGTAAAAAAAAGCCTTATTCCCACACTGACAGAATCATTTACAAAATATTAGCATATGATGTAATACCAAAGAAAGTAAACAAAATATGTCCTTAATGAGAAAAAAACATGTTCTAATCCAAACGTCATTTTAATAGTTATTTTATAATAAAGACTCCTTCCCTAGATTCATGTTAATTACTGTACGCTGTTGAGTAAATCTGCAGCATTGCTGTTGACAATTTAATCAGCAGCACAGAGCGTTTACGACAAAAACACATTCAGGTCCTACTAATGAAGAGAAGCTGGCTCTCCTGGGAGAAGCTGCAGTGAAACATGATAACTATCCACTGTAAAACCGGAGAGACAACAAATGGAAGAAACACAAGAAGCAGGAGAAAACAGGAACTCTCACTTTACACTTGAACAGTTTTACACGGAATAAAAACACCCTTAACGTTCTAAATATTCAAGCCTTTCAACTAGCAATACCTTCAATAATGGAATAAATGCAAATATCAGTCCAAACTTTTGTTTCCATGCACATATTTAAGCTCCAAGAAGTTTGGTTTTAAGAAATACACTGAAAAAAGCGAACATGTAGCTGTAGCTTCAAACTAATGACTGTCACTCTAAACTGGATAAAATTCTTGATTTGATTGTATAACTCATTCTTTTTGGATTTTGAGACATCAAGATTGATTTAACCTGAACATAATAAATGTACAAAGGTTTCTTATCTAAATATACATATTGATTTCTCTCAATATGTATATATATTTATTCATTTGAGTCACATGTGAATTGCGCTTTGCATGCTGCAGTCAGAGCAGGTGATCAAGTCCAAGTCCCAGACAGTGAGAGAGCGCCATTTTCGTCGTCTCTACATCCTGGGTTGCTTATAAATAAACGCAAGTAGCAAAGCAGTTGCATATAATCAATGTTATAGCTGGCTGGCTAACTAGTTAATATTTGCTAGCTGACGTTTGAGAGGGTTTATGCATTTACCGACGGCGTTATGACAATTAATTGCTAATGTTAGCTAGCCAAAAGCCCTAGCTCATTCAACCGGGCTACATCCAGAGCTAAACAAACATTGCTTTAAGGCAGAGTGGAGTTTTGTTTGAGTTAAATGCTGGATACCCGGAGTGTGCTTTGATGGCGAAGTGGTTAGCGCATACGACCCATGTATGGAGGCCTTAAGGGCAGATTAGACTTCAGCAACTGCACACATCAAATGTTGCTTGGGTCTGGTCGCGAACCAGTTTTGCTGGTATGCTTCTGAACAGTCGGTCTGGAATTTCTAGGGACCATAGCAGTTTCCCACCAAAGCGCAAGGTGGAGCATATTCGAGAACTCGAGAGAACTTCGGCTGATGGTCACGAGAACGTCGGTGGCACTGGCGGGAGTGTTTATCTTCCAAAACAGCAATGGCACATCTGCAAGATATCATGGTCACGGAGATGGTTCTAGAGTTTCTAGACATCGAAGAGGAACAGGTTCTGTTAATGGAGTTGGCAAAAAGACAAAGCAGGACGCCTAGGTTGTCCATTGTAGTTGTTCCTCGGTTTTTAAAAACGGTGTGCCCTGGCACCGAATCGAGAAGGACGACCACACAGACAGCCGGAAAGGCATACCAAGGACAAACCACAGCTGCTTTTTGTCTGTGCACTTCCACTTGAGGTCTGCGCGGGTTCGCGAGCATCCGACGCATAGTCAGGATTTTTTTGAGGTGCGCAACGATGGTAGCAGAACCTCTGCACGGGGGGCATAATCACGCACTGAGACAGATTTGATGTTTGCAGAGGCTATGCGTCAGAAGCATAAATTGGCCTTTAGTTGTTGATGCGGGCGACCTGGATTCGCATCCAGCCTGTGGTCTTTTCCCGCATGTCTCTCCCCCTCTCTCATATCCCCTTTCCTTTCAGTCTACTGTCCATAAAAATGGGCCACTATTGCCGTAAAAACTATAAAACTCACTGTCAGCGGGAGCCTCCAGTATTATAAAGACCAGGAGGGCTGTGGTGGTGAGCGTGTTAGCGTCAGATTCTAACTGCTACCGCTTGCCAAGGTTACGAGGTTGACGTCAATTTAAACCACCTAGATTAACACAATTTAAGGCTTTGTTAACAATTAATAAATACATTTGAATTAATCTGTTGGCCAGGTGGTTTTGTTATAGTTTGTAAGATGGGAAATGGAAATTATTTTTGAAGTAAAGTCAAATGAAATGTGAAAATTATAATTTGGTTATATTTAAATCAATGATCTGGTGTCAATACAAACATTAATTCATGTTTCTATATATTAGTTTGGTTCATCGACTGAATTGTTAAGAAAATCATCATTTGTAACAGGGCAAAGTTTTTAAGTTGGGTCAAATGCAGTATTATTGTTTATATCAACATAAAATAATCAGGTCATAACAAGTGATTAAATTCAGATTCTGTGAAGTAAAATATTTTAGATGTGATATCTGGACATCATTTCTTTAAGCGATAAAGGTTATACTTTTTCCAGTGTAAGAATATCTTAAAATAGTTGGTTTATTTCAGGAATTCAGATCAGAAAGTTAAAATTATAACATTAAAATAATTGAAGGTGACTAAAAGGTGAAACTGCGATTAGGCTACAAATGCGATTAATTGCCCACCTCTATTCTAAAGAAGCCCTAACCAGTAAAGAAGAATCTAAACTCAAAAATGTTTATATAAAAAAAACTTTTTGAGTTTGATTCTTTAAAATAATTTAATGAAAACAAAACCTGTACGCTATAAATATAGGTTTTAATGGCAGCTGAAAGGTTGGTCAATAAAAGAAACAGGCTTCCTGGATTTTGGTGGACTTCAAATTGCGTTGGAAAGCAAGGTTGCAGGGCTGCCTACCAGACTGATTGAGTGGCTAATTGGTTCACTGTCTGGGTGAGCAGACGCAGACAGGACTAACAGGACAGACTGTGATGAAGCAAGATCAGCAAGCCGGTGATAAAATGAAAGGAGGACCGCTGAGCGTGAAGCAAACACACCTCTGATACAGAGTCTAAGATAGATTGTTTCCCCAACAGTCCATCTAGGTAGAAAAGACTAGATATACACAAGGCCCTTTTAAAATAAAGTTGGATTAAAATCAGTTTGACATTATGGTGCAAATTCTACACACAAAACATTTTATCTTTTGTGAAAAACAAAACTGTGCCTTCCTGCGTAAATTCTCTGAGATCCAGATCACTGCAAACACAGAAATGTGTGCATCCGCTGTGGCAATGTCCTTGAAGAGAAAGGGTCACCACAGGAAAAAAAAAGGAAAAAAGGAAGAAATGTGAGGAATGCATGCACGCACCTCAGCTTCTAGTTCAGGTCTTTCAGGTAAAACGTCTGAAAGGAAGCTAATCATAAAAATTGCACAATTTCTACGATTTTTTTACACTTCTGTGAGGTGATATTTAATACATGAACACCGCCAAAGATGACTTTCGATGCTTCAAAAACACTTAATTGGGGAATATAAATAGCCCGATAACTAAATGCAGCAGGGTGGAGGGAACAAAGGAACCGAAGAGGCAATATTTCACACAGGGTATGCTGATCTGCTCATCTTTCTCACAGGTTTACAGATCTACAACAGCCAAGATTTCACGCTGCCAAAACAAAAAGTAGTCTAGCTGAAATATTTCCCTTCTTGTTTTCAGCTCCTGAGGGCCAAAAAAACAACAACAAAAAAACAATTTCTCTTAGTTAAAAAAATAAATAAACAAGACACAGGTTAATAACACGCTTTTAAAAAGATAGAGCAAGTCCATAGACTTATCTAAAACAGAATAGCTCAGACAAAGATGTAAGAGGCAGTCTATTAAAAGCAGGAGGTGAGAGTCATGAGGGTTGATCAATTATTTAGGGGCTGCTGACACTGACACAGCAATAGGCAAATAGGCTGCTTTAAAAGAGGGGAATCAAACTAATTACTCAATTACTCATCTATAGCAAATAATTAAATACATTTTCACCAGCAAATGTAAAATGTCCCCTTATAGCTGCATGTTGTTTAACAACAAAGGAAGCAGAGTCCCGTGGAGGATGTGACTCAGGTCGCTGCCTCCATCGCTTTCTTCTTTAGTTCTTCACAAACAAAGAGCCGTCCTCATCACATAAAGGCAGAACTAAAACCTATCTGTGTTCATGAAGAAAATAAATATTTAAAAGGACGCTCACATACCGGTCAATTTCACCGGGCCAGGAGAAGACAAAGCAGCAGGGAACCAGCTGCGGAATGACGGCGGCACAGAAGCCTTGCGCTCCTCCGAACAAAGCGGGCTTGCCAGCAGTTTCAGCATCCTCGCTCATTACTTTCCAACTTCAGCAGCATCGTTTGGAGCCGACGAGCCGGGCTTTAACTCTACACCGGCTCAAACGGAGGGAAATAAAAGCTCAACGCGGCTCTAAAAGGGAGAATGAGTTCAGCTCTGGCTGGTCATTCAGTCACCGGAGGGACCAGAAACTGTGAATGGCCGCGTGCTCGAGTGAATCGCAGCTGCTGCCTTCACGGACTGTTCGTAAAGTGCGGATTCGGGGTTCCACTGCAGCTGTTTAAAAAAAACAAAACACTTATTTGATCGGGGTATTTCAAGCATAATATGTAAGGCAGATGGCAGCTGATTTTAAAATTTTATTTCAGTTTAATATCGAAAAAAGTCAGAATTGTGACTTTTTTCTTAGAATTCTGACTTTTTCTCCGAATTCTGACTTTAATCGCAAAAGTCTGACTTTTTTTCTCCAAAGTCTGACTTTAATCTCAGAATTCTGACTATATTCTCAGAATTGTGACTTTTTTTCTCAGAATATCTAAATTTAATCTCAGAATTTCGGAATTTAATCTCAGAATACTGACCTTTTCTCAGAATTCTGACTTTAATCTCAAAAGTCTGACTTTTTTTCTCCAAAGTCTGACTTTAATCTCAGAATTCTGACTATATTCTCAGAATTTTGACTTTTTTTTTCTCAGAATATCTAAATTTAATCTCAGAATTTCGGAATTTAATCTCAGAATACTGACCTTTTCTCAGAATTCTGACTTTAATCTCAAAAGTCTGACTTTTTTTCTCCAAAGTCTGACTTTAATCTCAGAATTCTGACTATATTCTCAGAATTGTGACTTTTTTTCTCAGAATATCTAAATTTAATCTCAGAATTTCGGAATTTAATCTCAGAATACTGACCTTTTCTCAGAATTCTGACTTTAATCTCAAAAGTCTGACTTTTTTTCTCCAAAGTCTGACTTTAATCTCAGAATTCTGACTATATTCTCAGAATTTTGACTTTTTTTCTCAGAATATCTAAATTTAATCTCAGAATTTCGGAATTTAATCTCAGAATACTGACCTTTTCTCAGAATTCTGACTTTAATCTCAAAAGTCTGACTTTTTTTCTCCAAAATCTGACTTTAATCTCAGAATTCTGACTATATTCTCAGAATTTTGACTTTTTTTTCTCAGAATATCTAAATTTAATCTCAGAATTTCGGAATTTAATCTCAGAATACTGACCTTTTCTCAGAATTCTGACTTTTTTCTGAGAATGCTGACTTTTAATCTCAGAATTTCTGACTTTAATCTAAAAATTTCTGACATTTTTTAACATATAAAACTGAAAGAAAACAAAAAGATTAGTTAACTTTTTTTTCCCCCAGTGGCCCTAATCCTGTTCCATACATATGACAGGGTAGATTAAATATACAAATATTAGATCTAGAGCTGCAACTAAGGATTATTTCTCAAATGGATTAATCTGTTGATTATTTTTTCGATAAATCGATTAATTATCAGATAGCAAAATGTTCCTTAAATAGGATGGAGTATTAGTGCCAGGTTAGAGATTTTTTTTATTTTTTTTTTTTTGAGAATAAAGTCATAACTTTACAAGAAAAAAGTTGTAATATTACAAAAATAGAGTACGTTAATAAACATATCCATACACTATTTGCAGAACCTTTTTATCTACATCAGCGATGTAAAATCTGGTGGGTATGTCCTCTAAGAATAGAGATCTAGGCAGAAATTAGGCCAAACAGCACCTTTAACTGCATGAAACACTCATTTAGCATAAATTAATGTACTGCTTCAAACCACTTTATCAGTTGACTTAAGCATTTCTTTGATAGAAATTTGAATATATTTTCACAAACACTCATTTTTACAGAGCACTCGTTTCTTTGTTCATAAAAAAAAAAACACAATAGTTCATCCAAATTCAGAGGACATCATACAAAAACTGCAGATTAAACCGTTCCCATCTGGACCAGATTTCCTACTCTTTTGTAGATTATTTCTCTGAGTGATAAACATGTGTTTAACACAATTTATAGGAATGAGGTTACATGAAAAAGAAAAATAACTTCTTGAAAGCAACTAATATATGCCTAATGGGCACTTAAACCCTCAAGAATATCTGACTTAGTTTTTTTTTTTTATCTACACTGCCATATTTATTAAATGTAATTAGTTTATCAAATGTAACAAAGGGTAACATTTCATTCAGTCATTGTAGGGATGAAATGCCTCCTACTAAGTTTATATGTGCTGAATTCATCAAGTGTTAAGTAGTAACTTATGACCTTTTGAAATCAAAAATGATAATTTTGTCCAGCAAACCTGATTGATGTTAACATGTTTGGAAAACAGCTGTCTAGTTGGTTGCTGTCTACCTGATCCATGATATTTGCTGCTGGTTGTTTTGGTCCGATTGTTAAAGCCAAAATAGCATCCCCCTCCTCTGCTTGCATGAAAAAATGACACCAAAATGTCACGTATAATCTGATACAAAAAACAACAAAAAAAGAGCTAACATTGGCAATAAATATTGGTCGGCCAATGTATCTGTCTATCTTTCAGAATAATAATCTCTAAGATGACAACGATCTTATATGGCAATGTAAAATTGTAAGAAAATATGTCTGTGTAACTTTCAGTTATACATTTCACTTATACTCTGTATAATCTGACCTGAAAAGGATTATTTTAGACAACCTATTCTGATACTTTTATAATCTTTTATAATCAAATCAACATGAGACACAGTATAAAAGTCGTAAGGTTTCGCATAAACAGACTCACACTAACAAGTTTTATATTTTTTTTATTCCGATATATCAGGTTATATATACACAGTGGAATCCGCTTATCGTGGTGAACAGTTTGAACACTATAAGCGCTCGATTACTAAAACTGAATTTACCGTTTCTTTCCCTTATTTTTTATGCGAATGTAATCTAAATGCCATTTGTATGGTTTTTCAATGAGAAAAATTAAATGTAACGGAGAGCCTCCGCATTTACTGAATTTTATTACAGTACTATGCAAGTTTAACTACAGTATACTGCGCTGTACATAGACATAACTCTGGTAGCCTACGTAAGTTATTATGTGCTGTGCGTCTGCTCTGCTGCCAGTGCATTTTTTTAACAACTCTGAAAATAAAGTTTGAAACAAATGCTTAATCACAGCACAGTACTGCGCAGTGTGCAGCCATAACTCTGATACCCTACAGTATGCCTCTGTAACTTATTCTGTGTGTCGGCTCTGCTGTGCCGCCGGTGCATTTTTTTAACATGTCTGAAAATAAAGTTTGAACAGTTTCATAGAACAACAATATAGAAGATAATAGGCTACAGAAAATTAAAGCTAGCCTACCTCTGTTTTGTGTTGCGGATCTGCTGCACCGCATTAAGAAATCACTACACATATTTATCCATGGTTCCCTGGATCAGAGTGATGTCCAACACCGAGTTCACTTCTTTTTCAAAAATGATATAAAAGGTCAAAGTTTTTCTTGATTACTATAAACGATTTATTTAAACAGCATTTGTATAGAAATTATTTTGTCCCAGGCATTTTGATCTATATAAGCAGTTGATTACTATATCTGTGACCACTATAAGCTGATATATTAGGGCTCAAACAAAAAAAATCAGAATAATCATGATTAATTGATTATTGAAATAGTCGTCAACTAATTTAGTAACTGATTAATCTTTAACTAAAGCTTTCAGAGCAACACATTAAGAGCAACAATTATACCAAACTTGTAAAAAAAAAAAAATTTATAAATTTTTTAGATTTAAGATAAAGAAAATTTTGTCGTCTGTCAATGTGCTCTATCCAGAGCTCCTCAAGTGGAAAAGTTTTTAGTTTCACCTGGTTTCATTTAGTAAAAAATCTTCTTTAAAGAACCTTTGACATATATATATATAAATAGATATATGTGTGTGTGTATAAAACATTTAGCTAACGTGAGAACATTTCTTAAGTTTGATTGCATTAAGCAGTCACAGATGGAGTGGAATTTACCTCACAAAAAAGGTTTCACAAATCACAATTTGGGTTTGAAAGATTCTGCTACTATTGTAGAATAACCAAATCTAAGTTTAACAAGTTTAAATAGGGTCACGTTTAAGCTAACGCAGTATAAAAGAAGGTAAAGTGAGACTTCAGCAATCTGCTAAACCGTAAACAAACTTCTCCTGTGTGTGGATTTATTATTTCAGTAAAACATGACAAAAATATTTCGCATCGCATTTTATACGAGGAGCACAGCAGGTAGGAGAACTTTGTGATGTTTAGTTAGCGTAGCATTGCGTTAAGCTTCAAAGCACAACCGTTAGGTTGCTAACATAAGCTAGCTGCTGCTATGAAGAAGAGTTAAATATATATTTTCTTATTACCTCTTGCTGATACATCCCAGTGTGATGTATTGCCGGGTTACTCAAAAAATTAAACAGAACATTAACAAAAGATGTAAAAGACCAAAAATACAGTTTATTTTAAGAAATCGTCACCTGTTTCAACTACTAGTTGCTAGCAGATTTGTTTTGGTCTTAAAGTCACGTTTTGAGATACCGCGAGATTACAGTGCATTCCATAAAAGGCTGGCGTTTAGTTTCTTTACTCATGTTCTGAAATATCTGAAGCCTCAAATAAAAAACTAAATAAAACAAACAAACAATAAACGTATCATTTGATTAAATTCATCCTGACATTTCATATAATGCAGTTGAATCATTTTTTCTTAGAATTAATTTATTTAATTTATTGTATATAAAAATAAATCTGCAGACGGCTAAATATTTTAGCCCTTTAGGATCAGATAACAGATCAAACATTTAAGGAACACACAAAACATACAAAAATTCCAAGGATTAACAAATAAATAACCCCAACATTAGGGCTTTGTCTAAAGAATAAGTAAACACATAATTGGTCCATTTCAAAATTACTCCTCCAGTTTTTGCTTTTTAAAGCAAACCGTTGACAAAAGTGCAGCTATAAAGGAAGGTGTGCCTAACAGAGGCACTGTCTAATAAATAAAAATATAAATAAAGTTGAATAAATAAAAATGCAAAAGCAAAATGGACAAAAATTGAATACGAAAAAACACAAAATAAACTAGAAATTTGTTAAAACCTAAGAGGTTGGGAAAAAAAATCTAACTGCAAAAAAAAAAAAAAAAAACTCTCACTATTAAAATATAAATAAATGATCACTGTTTTAACTTGAGGAGCTTCTCCAGAAAGTCCAAAGCCTGCTGGATTTCTTCTGGTGTCAGCTCGGTGAGCTCATCAGGATGTAATCTCTTCTTCCAGTTTGCCGTGTCTGCGTTGCTGGCCTGGCCTGCAGCATTGTGGATGTCCTGGATCCTGGTTTGCAGCCACTCCCGGCGCTCCTGCACCTGCTGATGGTGTCTCAGGTTGTGCATCAGCTGCACTTCACTCACTGTCCTTTTACTACAGAATGATCAATACATTCAATTCAATTCAACATTAAATTAATCATAACACCACAAAAAGTTTAATACTGTCTTCGACAATGTGGATGTGAGTGGGAAATTACCTTAGGGGACGTCCTTGGCAGTGAATTGAAAGATGTATAACACAGAAGAGGAAGATGATGAGGATTTTAAAATCCATGTTTTTCATGTTGCAGTTAAAAATCTGATGAGACAAACAGAAAATAATGTTTTCATTCAACAAATATGTTCATACTATTTAAAGTCCTTCTGCTGTTAGAATCCTCAGGAAATTAGGATTTACTTGTCTAAAAAAATGTCCTCATACCTTTACATGTATAATGTTTATAGAAATAGCTATTTATGAAAAAATAATAGAGTAATTCGATTGTACTTTAGGCATTGGGCCTCTACTTAACTTGAACTGATAGGTCAAAATGAACATACCTGTGTTGCCGTTGGCTCCTTCTCCTCTGTATTATGAAAAATAAAATTTGATGTAATAGTCTCTAAAGCGAGCCAGTCTGGTGGTTAGCTCCTATTAGTTATGATAAGCACTGGGCTCCAATGGCTCCTTTTATAGCCCGGTGTCCAGTTGTTGATGAGCTGCTTTCATTATTGCTGTTGATGTCATACCTCCAGCTTCTGGGGGCAGGACATGAACCACAACACCTCCTCTTCACCGCTGTCATATGGCATCAAGGGAATGGCTTTGAACCCAAATGCTTTCAAACCCTAGTGACTGGGAAAAAGGAAAACACATTGAAAGAAAAACCAAGAATTTTACAGGAAGCTATGTATTCAATTACCATAAAGTCCCAAAAAAAAGCACTGAATACCTTGTTGAATTACTCCATCCAATGAATTACTTTAGTGAAAACAATTATACAATGATTAGAGGCTGCTTTTATTTGAGTTTTTTACTAAACTTTTCCTCCTATCCAAAACTATCTGTTAGGAGCTTCTTCCCACATTTCTCCCTCCGGCCCATACCAATCGGTCCACATCTGATGTGACCTTTTTTGTCCCACTGCAAGCATGCCTAACAACAATAGAGGCAACATTTGGATGGATTTATGACTCTCATTGACTATTAGAGAGTCTCCCCGGTTACATAGACACTTAACTCAAGAATTAACATTGTTTTAATGAGTTTTCTCTCTCAAAAAAAGAGCTTTTATACCAACTTGACGTCAGAGGTAACATCTTGAATCCAAGGGTATGAGGGAATTTGGAATATGTGTTGTTGGTCGACACCGCTGTCGTCACTTTCGAACGCATGACTGACGGGTTTGTGTTCATGAGTGTCATTCAAGGTCACTGAGCATCAGGTATTCACAGGTCTGTATATTTTTTCTCAGTTTATCGCCTTGCGGCAATTGTTTAATTGGATGGAGGAATTTATCCTGAAAATTCCAGCCATTGCAATACAGCTGTGAGATGTCCCAGTTTAAGGCTGTTGCCTGATAGCGAGCTTAGACAGACAGGCAGAGTCATACATTCTGTCTTCAGTGACCAAAATTGTCTGCAACAGATATGTTCCCTGAAAAACTTCAGTCTGAACATCCCCCAATCAGTCAGTCTGGGGTTACACGAAGAGGCAGAGAACTTAAAAAGCTCATAGATGCCGACAAGCCTAAAGTTCTTAAGGATGCTTGAAAGAATATGCCTTGAAAAACTGATTTATTGTTCACTTCTTCAGCTTTTTTTCTTAACTCATATACCCCTACAAAAGGTAACTCAGATGTTCCAAGTATAAATGTACCTCATAATGTCTCTTTTCTCCTAAAACTGTCAACTGATTGATCATTAATCTGACAATCATCTTAAATCCTCCCCTTCATGTCTGTCATACGACCATCCAGCCTATCTGTACTGACTCATCTTTCAGGTTGCACCCCCCCAAAGGTCACTGATCTTTAGCAGCAAATAGCTCGCACTGAAAAGAAGCCCCAAGCTTCTTATTTTGGTCACATACATTACATATTACATAACCAGGATGGGTTGAGTTTGCTAAATATAGCAGCTCTACAGGCTTTGAAATCTGAGGTGAATCCCAACTAAAAATGCATGCCCCATGCAATCAATTAGACCCTTCTCTAGTAGTTATAGTGTTTTATCGGTCGTTATAACAACCAAATGAGTAGTACAAATCTTAATTCTCAGAGGCCAAATCAATGTATATCACTCAAGCTTATAATAATGATAGAACTTAATTGATCTCACACTGGAGAAATATATCTGCCCCTTGGGGAGCAGTGGGCTGCCATTGTGTGGCGTCCGGGCATTGTGGGGTTTGGGGCCTTGCTCAGGAACCCAGAGTGGAGGCTGTGAGGATTGAACCAGGTACCTGCAACCTTCTCAGAGCACAAGCGCACTGCTCTAACCTACTAGGACAACACTCCTTCCTATAGAATGTCCATTCTAGCAAATAGCGGCACCAGCACACTGGAAAAAACTATCTAGAAATAATTAAAAAATATATCTTAAATATAGTTTATATACCCTTAATTTGAGTAGGTAAATGAGATAGTTTGCCAATGGAATGAGTATTTTTACCCTTAAAATAAGATAATTAGATGATATGCGCTTGTAAAATAAGACAATTCAATTATGTTTTCTTATTTTAAGTGTAAATTGTCCGGTTCCATTGGAAAAAATTGTTCTTTTATCTCCTTAATCCAAGAAGAAATGCACCTATTTTAAGAAAAAATGACTTTTCTAGATTCAGATTTTTTTCCAGTGCGAGAAAATGCGTTTTATTGTCCAGTGTGGTCAACTTTTGCACATGTTGGTTCATAAATAAACACTTTGACCGGTCAGCAGATTAAACTGTTTACATACAAGCGCGGCACGATGTGTGGTGGTCGGGACAGCCCCCCTGCGAGAGGCTGACCTCCTCTTGATCTTCCGTAAAAATTATTACTGACAACACGGGCCGCAGCTTGTTGAGAGCTCATCTACCAAAGACATTAACCTTTAACCTTTGCTTACGTCCCGCAGCTTTTCATCCTCATTACCTCATGCTCCTTCAATCTGTAGAGGGGGTTCACCTGTGGCATGCAAAATGGATGGGATGGTTTAAAAAGACAGTTATCTCACAGTGATATCCAAGTAATTCCCATAAACTTCATCATTCACTGTGGTGACAAGTGACAAAGATGAATTAACAAGGAGACATAATGTGAGACGGCTGAAACTGAAGTACAAGCTGGGGCTGTCATCATGGTGATTCCCTGCTAACGTGCCGGGAAACACCCCGACAACCTGACATCCATAGCTGCTCTAATTCAGGTGCACCAGAGAGGGAAAGCCGCTCAGCAGGACTCGAGAATAGTTTGTTGCCAGTAAAGACAGGAAGCGCTATTTTCAGGCTATGCTTTGACTTTGAGAAAACATTTTGGCACCATGTTTGGGGGGGTTAACCGTGGACTCAGATTGTTTGTCCTCATCTTAAATCAGCTGAAAGAAAGTATGAAAACAAGGAAAAATGAAAGAAAGAATGTGGCCTTACTTTAAACAAAGGAATTAATAAATATCTAACCTAATCTATCGAACTTTATGCAGTTTCTCCATTACAACCTCTAACTTCCTTTTTTTTTGTGAGGTATTATGGAGGTACAACTAAATATGCATGGCTTTGAAACAATTCATCAAAAGTTTCACAAAAGATAGACTCTGGGTTATCTTTTTCATAGAAACTAAACATAAGTGTTGTTACTGTATATAATTTTCAACGTTTTTACTTTTTATCCTGACATTTGAACACAGGTATCTGTACTTTCTACTCCTTACTTTCTCAAAACTGCCTCATCACTTTTATAAACATTGATAACGACATGACGTAAAAGCTGCAACAAAACAGTGGAAAAATGCAGAGCGGGAAGGGAATAGGTCCAGCTGGAGCTGACTTTGTTTATAGAAAAATCAATGATAGAGACGTGGATGAAGACATTTCCCATTTATTAGATTTCAAATTTTACATGTTGATTATGTTTTAAGTTCCAGTGGAATTTAAAGCTATTTGAAACTTTAATGCTGAGAATATTAGACCCCCGGAAGCATTCAACCACTTATGCAGGACTTCTGTTCAGTTTAAACAATACCGACTGAACATTTGATGTAGAACATTAAGCCTGTCTTCTGTGCAGAGTTGTTTTGTTTTTTTAATAATAGAAATTGTAAATTTTTTGTATCATTTAGGGCAATTACTTTGTTTTACCTTTGTACGAAAATACAATACAAAAATTGCACTTTTTCTCTTTACTTAAGATAATGAGTTTAGTTAGTTACTTTTAGCAGGTTCCTTTTGAAACATCTATCTATCTATCTATCTATCTATCTATCTATCTATCTATCTATCTATCTATCTATCTATCTATCTATCTATCTATCTATCTATCTATCTATCTATCTATCTATCTATCTATCTATCTATCTATCTATCTATCTATCTATCTATCAGTACATAGAGATGCCCTATTAACTTTATTTAAAGCAGTAAATACCTTAATGGGGAAAATAAAAGTGCTAAATTTATGTCAATTGGCCTTTTTTTCATATAAATGATTATTTCAAATAATTCAAACAAATTGCTTTTGTTAACATTTCACCCAGCGCCTCACCTCTTTTTAAAATAATAGATTATATAATAATGGTTTGACACCACTGTTGTTGGCATTAATCACAGCGTAAGCAGAGCAGTAAGAGTCAGGGATGTGAACTACATGTGATGAAGACATGCAGTTAATCACTCCAGCCTGACCCAGTTTTCCCGTAACTGCAGACTGCCCCCTAAGGCGATGCAATATAATTTTACCGCCACCAGACACCACCACACCACACTGCTGCAGTCATATATTTCTTCTTACACAACAGAACTTTACCATCTTTAATTTGACATTACATGACTTAGTCTGCATTTTAGCAAACAAAATGCACAGAAAGATGCATTTAGAAAAATGTTTATCAAAAGAAAAAGGGGTTGAACAATTTACCACACTTTATTTAAGCACTCTGTTGGAAACCGATGGTTCAACAGAATTAAAGTCAGATAAACTGGGTCAATTAATCAGTTTTTGGGGAAATTAATTATACAGGGAGAAACAAAGTAAATATGTGAATCCTAGGATTAATTCATTTATATGATAGGTTCTGCAGGGTAAAGTGTTTGTAAGAAATGTGGTGTAATCTTTTATTTGTTAACCTCATTTTCTCTCTACATTTGTAAAAACATTAACTTTAAGGATTATTTCTAGGTTTATGAGATTGGCATGGCAACAGAAAACCCCCCACAGGCAAAATAGGCCCCAATATGAATGTGAGAGCTAAATGATCACATTAAGAACAAGGATTATACCTATTTTTTTGTATCTCCAACAACCAAATTGCGCTAGGAAATCAAAGAGATCTGAAAATGGGCTAATTTTTGACAATTAAGTAATTATTGCAATGCTCCTTTTTTTTTTAGCTCCTTAAATTCAATGACAGTAAGTGAAACCGTGTCATACATTAATCACAGAGGAGCCAACAAAGAGTTATTATGCCCATTCAAATCTGCAGGAAAGCTATTTCTA